CTTCATAAACTTCGTTTTCTCTTGGTTGATCGCTAAACCCATTCGTTTCGCTTCTCTGATTAGATTTTTTGTCATTTTCTTCATTTCTGCTTCTGTTCTCGTTATACATGTCACGTCATCTGCAAAGGCTATATTTTGGTGTCTTTTTTCGTATATCGTGCTCGTTCTGTGGATGCCACTTCTCCTTATTATTGCTTCGAGTACTAGATTGAACAGGGTAGTTGATATTGGATCTCCTTGCCGAAGTCCTGTTCTTACTTGTAATGGTTCTGACAACAGACCATTTATCCTGACTCTGTTTCTGGTGCTCTGCAGGGTCATCTTTGTCAGTTTTATTAGTTTTCTTGGGACTCCTAGTTCTTGCATGGCTTCTAGCAGTTCTTTCCTGTTAACCGTGTCATAGGCTTTTTTAAAGTCTAGGAACAGCAGGTATAAGTTGATTCCCTGTTCGTAATGTACTTCTTGTAGTTGCTTCAATATAAATATCTGGTCCACAGTAGATCTATTTTTCCTAAACCCTGCTTGATATTCTCCTACTATTTTTTCCATATGCTGCTTTAGTCTTCGGTTGATACCGCGATAATTTTCGCATTTCGTAATATCTCCTTTTTTAAATATCGGGCAAAGTACTGCTTCACTCCATTGTTCTGGCATTTTTCCTTCCTTCCAACATTCTAGCACTAGTCGATGTATCTCTGATGCTACTGCTTCTCCTCCGTACTTTAGCATCTCGTTCCTTATTTAATTCTTGTCGAAGTTTTCTTCTATTTGTCGTATTTGTTCTTCCATCTTTGTTCGTTTCTTATTTCTGCATATCTTCTTGTACTCTTTCCTTTTTTCTTGGTAATCTTTTTGGTTCTTCTCGTTTTTTGATTTTAGATATTTCTGTCTGGCTAACTTCCCCGCTTCTATTGCTTTTCTACATTCCTCGTCAAACCATTCGTTTCTATTTTTGTTGTCTTTTTTGACGAACCCTAGTACTTCTTCCGAGGTCTTCCATATGTTCTCTTGTAGTTCTTCCCACCTCTCTTCTATAGGTATGTCTTGCTCTGTTGATCTTATTCTCTCATTCATCTTTTGTTCGTATTCTTGTTGTCCTTCAGCTTTCTTAAGTTTGTTTATATTTATACCACGTTGCGTCTTCTTTCCTTCTTTTTTCTTCGGTATTTCTTGTTTAAGGTCTGCTCTTACTAGAAAGTGGTCTGAATTCGCTTCTGCTCTCCTGTAACTTCTTAATCTGGTTATTAGTTGGGCATCTCTCCTTTCTACCAGTATGTGGTCTATTTGGTTGACCGTTTTTCCGTCAGGCGACATCCATGTGCCTTTGTAGATCTCTTTCTGCGCGAAGAAGGTGCTTTTGACTACCATTTTGTTTTCTTCTGCAAACTCTATCAGTTTTTCACCATTTTGATTCGTTTTTTTGTGTTTGTTTTCTTTCCCGATTGTTGGCCTGTAGCAATTCTCTTTACCTATCATTGCGTTGGCGTCTCCTATAACCATTTTAATGTCATGCTTTGGTATTTTCACATATTCTCTTTCTAGTTCTTCGTAATATTTTGTTTTTACTTCTAGATCTTTCTCTTCAGTCGGTGCATGTATATTCAGTAGGCTTATTTTCCTATACTTACTTCTCAATCTTATATAGCTCATTCTTTCTGAGATTGGTTTGAAGGTAATTACTGCTCCTTTCAGGCTCTTCTTCACCATGAATCCTGTTCCTAGTTCTCTGTTGTCAATTCCGCTATTAAATAATATGTAGTTGTCTATTTCAGTGATGAATTTGCCTTTTTGTTTCGTCTCTTGTATAGCTGCTACATCTATATTATACCTTTGTAATGCTTGAACTAATTGTTTGAGTTTTCCTTCGCTATATGTTCCTCGAACATTCCATGTTCCTATTCTAATTTTCGAGTTTTTCTTTCTCTTCGTAATTCCTATCGGGTCATCCATGAGCTTTGCATACGTCGTCATTGTTTTCCGGTGTGTGGTTTCTTCCTCTATTAGTTTTTTGGATTTTCCTTGGGGTGCGACGGTGCTTTCACTAATTTGTCTAATTTAGTGTCCCAATGCCAGACTTCTCCTGCCCATATCATCTTTTTGTACCCTACTTTTGCCTCGACTCCTTTCCCTTTTTCCGCTGCTGCTATTCCTCTTATTTTCTTCTGTATCTCGCTCTCTTGTTTGGTGTAATCGTCTTCAATAAACGTTTTTGATCCTTTTAATTTGTTCTTCTGTTTCATGATTGCTCTTTTTGTGTCCCAGTTCTCTATCTTTGCTACTACTATGTCGTATTTTTCGCTGACTAATCTTGCGTCTTGTATCTTAGTTTGGATTCCTACCTTATTTTTTAGGAGTTCTTCCACCTCTGCTGTTATTTCACTTCCTTGTAGTTTCCCTCCTTTGATTACGATGTTGTTTCTCCTTTCTGCTTTTTCCAGTTTTTCTAAGTGTTGCTCCACTCTTTCTAATCTTTCGGTCAGTCTTTGGTTTTCTTCTCTTAGTGTTGTTACTTCTGTTTGGTATGCTCTTTGGTCTCTTTTCATTTCTGCGATTTCCTCCATTAACGTTTTGAACATATTCTTTACTTCGTCCATGTCTCCTGCTTGTACCCTCTTCTGCTTCCTCTGTACTCTTTGACCTTCCGGTGATGGTGAAAAGGAGGTTTCTCTTTTTCGTTTCTGGTTGTCTTGTTCTTCTATTGCTAGTTTGTGTCCTTTTTCCGGTTCAGGATTCTCGTTTAGCATTCCCTGGCCGACTTTCTTGTTTCCTGTGTACCTATCTAGTACGTCCCTGTGTTGTTTACTTCGTGCCGCGATAAGAACTGTCACCCAGACTATCTCTTTGGAGGTTAGGTTCTTTTGATTCCTCATTTTCCCTAATAATTGCTGTCCTTACACTTCTTGGTGCTTCTTACTCTTATTCCACTTCACTTCTTTGTTTTCTACTACTTCTCTTTCGCTTTTGACGCTCGATATCTCTCGATTTTCGAGTTTGGATTTCGGAGCGTGTTCTGCTTATCGTAGCCAGGACTGTACCTACTGTTGGTGAACAGCATGCCGCTGGTTTATATAAGCTTCTTCTTTTAATTTTTGAAGAGTCATTTTATCTTCCAACGATACATTATTTTCTGCTGCCCATTGTTGGCAAGATTAAGAGCTTTAATGGCACCTTCGTTTTTAATTTTTACCGACTTTGTCGCCGTCGAGCCAGTCAATAACTTCGCTGACATTTACTTCGAGATTTCCAATATTACTTACTTGTTAATTTTATCCTTATTTTTTTTAATGTCACTTATAGTGGAAGTTCTCACATCATACTTTAGTGCCAAGTCTTTCTTGTGGTTTCGTTTGCGAGGTGCCATTTCTAATGCTAAAAGACGGATTGACTGAGCCTCGGACGTTATTAAATGCGTACACAGCAAAAAAATTGTTTTGTCTGGAGCCACTTATTTGTAATTCTGTGAATTCGGATCACTAAATTCAAAAAAATCCGAATTATAAAATACACTGTGAGAAAATAATTTGATCCGGATTATGGGAACATTCGGATTAGCGTTGATTCGGATTATCGCGACACCACTGTAAAACAATAATTTCTTGCAAAAATTTCAAAGTGTTTTTGTATTCACATAAATTAGATTTGCTAATAGCCGAAATGTCACATCGCGACGACATGATACGGAACCATGTACTTAAAATTTTGATAAACCAAGCAGTAGTATAAGCATCACGGTCAACAATAGCTACGTTTGTATTACACAAAAATTCGAGCCCTTACATAAAAACTTAATAAATTACATGCTAAAGAAACTTTCATTTTGTCAAAATGAGTCAGATTGTACAAATCACTACTTAATTTAATTTTGGTGCTAATTTTAATTCGAAATTTTCTTGAAATTCCGCAAAGTCCTCAATGTTAACCTCATTGCTTGGTAATGCATATTTATTAACAAACTCGTCCGGAATTATCATAATTTTGTTATTTACCAATGCAGACCTAATATTTTTGTAAATGTGAGAAGGCTTTGCCATGAAATATATATTTTTTGATTCATCAGCTGGATTAGAAATGAAATTTTGAAGAACAATTTGTCTACATTTAATGCCAAAATATTTCCACAACGCCTGATTTGCTGCACCCATATCTGTCATCATATTTACAATATTTGGATTCGTTTTTGTGGCTAAAATTGTTAATTCTTTAATGTGATCTCCTAATGACTGTCCACTTGTGGAATTTCCTGTGAAGTGATACGAAATTACTTGTTTCCACCGCCGTAACATTCCACCTATCATGATACTAAATAATGAGTGGCTATCGCTGAAAAGTTTTCCAGGGTTTCATATCCCAGTATGGCAGAGGAAACTGTGCAGTATTGTTTTTCAGGCGTTAAAGGCATCTTATCTAAATGCAAACAACATTTTTTAACGATTTTATTCATAAAATTAACTCCAATTGAATATATCGAGTGTTTTTTTTTTTGTCACACAACAAACTCGTTCCTTGATAACTGTCAGCTCACTTTATTTAAATATATCCGTAACACGGAATCATCATTTTCGTTTGTAATTTATTGTTAATTTAACCGGTTGAGCGGAAAGTTTTGTATGCATCTCTGGAATAAACTTTCTTAATCCCTCTTTCCTTTCGGTCGCTCGGGCATCACTTACAATTTCAGGATTAATATGACAGTTTATTCCCTTGATGCATAAATAACTTTTTTATTTTTACTTATAGGGGTTCTCATAAAAAAATTGCAAAATCAAATTTTGTAAAAGCTGGATATGGTTCTACTGCAGGAGCCAGGGAAGTTCTACCGAAATAACCTTCGACCAATTTTTTAATTGTAAATAGCAAGTACCCTAGAAATATATCTATCAATTAAGTTATTACTTAATGAAACAAACCTTGAGAAACCAGTTTTTATTCGATTGGGGATCAACAGCATATCAGAAAAAGCTGGCCAATCTTATGGTTCGGGGAAAGAGTTGCATAAGTTGTGAGTGCTTTGACATGGCTTTACCGTTTGCTTTTCAAGCACAAACCATTATCGCAGAGGGAAGAACTTCCCAAAGTGATGTTAATACCATTAGAGGGTGGTTACGAACCACATCGCTTCCGCTGCTGCAGGATGAATTTATTGTGATATTTTTAATCTCAAGTGAAAATAAAATAGATAAGGCGAAACAAATAATCGAGGCTTATTTCAAAGTTAAAAATGGATATCCAAACGTTTTTAACAACATCGATTTGGACAGTGAACCGATAAAAAATATACAAAAAGTCGCGTAAGTACCGTTGGTATTATTATTATTAGTTTTTTGAATAAAAAGTGATTCTAGAGGCGTGTGTATACTTCCTAACAGAATAGACAATAAATCAGTTGTAGTTTTTGGAAAATTAACAGACACTAATTACCGAAATGTAGAACTTTTGCCTTTGATAAAATTATGTTTTATGTACGTACACATGGTTCAAATTGAAGATCCTCCAAGCGACATCGTCGCGGTGGTTGATATGCAAGGGGTATCTGCAAATAACAAACAAATTACCTTTTAACTGAACACCTGAAATTTTAGGTTGGTTTCATGCACCTCACGTGTATTAAAATGGAACCCGTTCTCGCATTTCTGAAATTTATCCAAGAAGGATTGCCGCTGAAAATAAGAGCGGCTCACATTTTAAATACCAACTACATTTTTTATCGAGCTCTAAATCTGTTTAAAAGGTTTATCGGTACCGAGATCTTGAAACTGGTACTTTTATCGGAATTTATCAAGACATGTTTTTACACTATCGAGTTCTTCGGTTACAGGTTCATCCACATTCTTCAGATATGAAATTAGAACATTTTCACGAAGAATGGGTGCCAGCATCTTGTCTACCCAAAGAATATGGCGGTGAGGTGCCCTTCGAGCAGCTGGTGAGTCGAACCCAGAAGGACAATAAGAAAATGCAACCATTTTTGGACGCGGAAGAAAAGCTTAGAAAATGCTTATAAATTTTGTTTCATTATTTTGAGATGCTGTGACGAAAACTTCTGGTGGTGGTATTTCTTGCTGGGGTGTTTTTTCTGAAAAAAAAAGAAGTTCGAAGAGGAGTTACTTCTTATATTTGCTTAGCAGTGAGATTGCTCGGTACCTAGTTAATTATTTCCAATACCCTTAGACTATCCACCTGAAAGTTTTTTATAATGAAAGTATAGTTTAGTTTTTAAAAATACTAATATGTAGTCCTAATAATCTGCTGATATTTATACAATAATCCAATCTAATAGTGTAATAATTTATACATTTCACATATTTTATAATGTACCTAAGTAAATAAAAAATGAAAAACCTTTTTCTTCAACAATAAAACGGCTTGATTCTAGCCATTTTATTGTAATCGAGTCCATCGGCCAACTCTCTACTTTTACGTTTTCTCGACCTTTCATGACCGCTAGAGTACAAAGAAATAAGTCTCCCGTTTCCGTCTGTCTGTTTGTCCATCTGTCTGTCTGCCGTCCCTGGTTTTTACTAGACAGATAATCCCCGAAAGTACTGCACCGATTGTTGTCGAATTTTGTATTTATATTAGGAATATCATGTAGGTGGTAACACGCTAACCAAAATTTGTCTAACCCCCCCCCCCAATAATGTGATGACGTCACTTCAAAATTGTACATAGTAAATGGGTTTTAAATTGTATAAAATAACATAGTCCTACACATGTAGTTTACGACTTCGAATTAAGTTTTTACCCGAAACGTCCAGATTTTTGAAAAAAAAAAAATCAAAATTATGAAACAACATTTTGCAATTTAATTTGGAATCTGCAAAACCGAATGCTCTGAAATCTTGCAGATGGTTTACAGTTATGATAAGCATGGTAAATTTTTGATAAAATGTGTTTGCTCATCCCCATAATAAATTGATGACGTCACCCCAAAATTTTGCTGAAAAAGTCCTATGTACAAAATATGATGATACTGCGAAGGAAGTCCTATTGAAATAACCAATTTTTTTTATTAAATCAGGAACGGTTCGCTCCATTTTCCCGAAAATTTGGACATACAATATTTAATAATTTTGTAAAGAAAAAACTCATTTGAAACAAACGCAAAGCACACTTTTTTACATTTATTTCAACATTATATACATATGTTTATTTTAACTCAAGAGGTTCTCATAAAAAAATCTCAAAACCAAATTTTGTATTTTTTCGAAAAAGCTAGATATGGTTTATTCAACTTCAAGGGCGAGAGAAGTTCTGTCTAAATAACCTTGGACCAATTTTTTAATTGCAGGTAGCAAGTACGCTGGAAATAGACTAATTAAGTTATTATTTAATATATCCTTAATAATATCGTCTGAAACAAACCTTGAGAAACCTGTTTTTATGCGACTGGGGATCAACAGCACATCCGAAAAAGCTGGTCAATCTTTGTGTCGGGAAAAGTGTTGTACAAGTTGTCAGTGTTTTGACATGGCTTTACCGTTTTCCTTTAAAGCCCAAACTATTATCGCAGAGGGAAAAACTTCCCAAATTGCTGTTGATACCATCAGGGACTGGTTACAAACAACATCGCTTCCGCTGCTGCAGGATGAATTTATTGTGATATTTTTAATCTCAAGTGAAAACAAAATAGATAAGGCGAAACAAATAATCGAGGCTTATTTCAGAATTAAGAATGGATATCCAAAAATTTTTAACAACATCGATTTGAACAGTGAACCGATAAAAAATATACAAAAAGTCGCGTAAGTACCGTTGGTATTATTATTATTAGTTTTTTGAATAAAAAGTGATTCTAGAGGCGTGTGTATACTTCCTAACAGAATAGACAATAAATCAGTTGTAGTTTTTGGAAAATTAACTGACACTAATTACCGAAATGTACAACTTTTGCCTGCGATAAAGTTGGCTATTATGTACATACACATGGTTCAAATTGACGACCCTCCAAGCGACATAGTCGCGGTGGTTGATATGGAAGGGGTTGGTTTCATGCACCTCACATGCATTAAAATGGACCTCGCTCTTGCATATCTGAAGTTTATCCAAGAAGCATTGCCGCTGAAAATAAGAGCGGCTCACGTTTTAAACACCAACTACATTTTTTATCGAGGCCTTAATCTGTTCAAAAGGTTTATCAACAGCGAAATCTTGAAACTGGTACTTGGAATTTATCAACACATGGTTCTACGTTATCGAGTTCTTCGGTTACAGGTTCATCCACATCCTTCAGGAATGAAACTTGAAAAGTTTCACGAAGAGTGTGTGCCAGCATCTTGTTTACCCAAAGAATATGGCGGCGAGATACCCTTCGAACAGTTGGTGAGTCGAACGCAGAAGGAGAGCAAGAAAATGCAATCATTTTTGGACGCAGAAGAAAAATTTAGAAAATGCTTATAAATTTTGGGTTTTTGTTTCATTATTTTTAGTGCTGTGATGAAAACTTCTGGTGATGTTATTTCTGCGGGGGTGTTATTTCTGAAAAAAAGAAAAATGTTTGCAAAAGTTCGAAGATACCCGCAGACTACCCACCTGAAAGTTTTTTTATAATCAAAGTATAGTTTAGCTTTTTAAAAATAAAAATAGTCGTAATAACCTGTTGATTGTCCAGCAGTCCTACAGTAACCAACTGAGTATTGCCTGTTTGTAATAACCTAATAACAAATAAATAAAAAGGAAAAAGGAAAAAGCAGTACAAAATAAGTGCAAATTACATAAGTAAAAAATAAAAATATGTAATAATCTAATCCAACAGTGTAATAATTATTACATTTCACATATTTTATAGTGTAGCTAAGTAAATAAAAAATGAAAAACCTTTTTTTCCAACAATAAAACCGCTGGATCCTAGCCATTTTATTTTTTGTGTTAATAGAAAGGGGACAAGAGTGTAAATACGCAAGATAGCAAGAAAAACGTAAAAGATGTAGGTAACCAACTAAGCGCAGAGGTGTAGAAAGAGTAGAATAAGATCAGCGCGCAACCACAGTATAGATTTGTATATAGTGTGGCGCAACAAACAGTATATTCTATGCTTAAAGATAGCCTAAACTTAAATAATGGTATTAATATGTCACAATTCAAGAAACTACATCATAGACAAAATCTAAGGTACTTACCAGAGGGAAGATGAACAAAGTTGTTATCTATGTATCTCACACAAAGACACATTTATCAATAGAACTTTCACAATTAGTGATAAACACAAAACACAATGAACAAGTTTTTTCTATGATTATTTTTCGAAAATGACCCACTTTCCGACCTGTGGCGGCGCCACTGGCAAATGAAAGTATTTATTGCAATAGCCACCGAACAAGTTTCGATGGGAATTACCAGAAATTTTTTGAAAGTAGTTATAGTGATGACCATGTGACACCAATGAATAAGTTGTACGTTGCTTTACAATTTTATGCCACAGCAGGTAATTTTTGTGCAAAATGCCGTAATTCTGGAGGAATAAATTTTGTTTCACTATTAGACATTTTATTTGTTAAAAAAACTGATAAAATGCAAAATTTGGTGTGATTTTACTTCTTGAGCGTAAGCGAGTACGAAGTACGAAGAAATGGGTCTCCCGTTTCCATCGGTCTGTCCGTGCGTCCGTCTATCTGTCTGTCAGTTTATCCGTCTGTCTGTCTGTCTGCCGTCACGGAATTTTATTAGACAGAAAGTACTGGGCCGACGTAGTAGAATTTTGTCTTTGTATTAAGAATATCAAAAATCAAAATTACAAAGCAGCTCAAAATTATTCCCAATAAATCCTATCTAAAATGTACAAAATATGATGAGTCTCTACTTGTGATTTACCACTCCATTCATATTTTTTGAATTTGCTTATACATAGTGTCTCAAACAATTAATGACTGAGTTAATTTATTTTATTGTTTAAATCAATAATTGCAAAACTGAATACTTTGAAATCTTGCAGACTTTTTGAAGTTATTGTAACCATGGTAAATTGTTAATCAAAATAAATCTGTTTATTCCCCCCAAAATATTGATGACGTTATCTAAAAATTTTGACGAATAAATTCTACCCAGAATGTGCAAAATATGATGAGTTTTTATTTATGATTCATCATTGCATTGTGGTAATCAAATTTGAATTAAAATTTCGCGCTGAAAAAAACAGCGGCGCGAAATCGCATTTGAATAATTTGAATTTGAAAAAAGATTTAAGAAAATCGTTAAACATAGGCAACCATGTGCAAGTTTAGTTCTTTTTCTGATAGGTGGTAGCTCTTCTAGGGGAATTTGTGGGTACTCTTGTGGTGACCGAGTTTGAATAAAATTTTCGCTTTGAAATTAATTAACAGTGGCGCGAAATCACAATTGAATAATTTGAATTTGAAAAAAAAATCATTACAAAAAATCGTTAAACATAGGCAACCATGTGCACGTTGGCGCCTTTGAGTAGTGTGTAGCCTGCTTGAGATTTTAGACAGAGGGGTGGTTATGAGAGGACGGTAGTAGTAGATAAGATAGAGGAATGCGATAACATGGTGAAAGCGTCATTATTTGTTTGGTTCGGTGGAAGTATGGTGAAAAAGACGCTCTAAGTTAGCTAGATTAAATTAGTTGCCTTGGTAGTTAATCAAACCGAGGAAGCCTTTGTTTAACCACAATTAATCGTAACGGCTACGTCCAGTCTTCCCCAATACGCGCAGCTAATTCTTGCGGCTTTTTAATCGGAAAACGTGAATTTTGAACGACGCCAACCCGTGTAAATTTAATTCATTGTTTGTAAGTTCATGGTTCATGTGAGGATTTTAATCGTTAACTGATTGTAACAAAATGTAACAGATACTTACTAGGAGATTTCATGAAATTCATTTAGTCAGGATAACACCTTTTGTTTAAGTTATGAATCTCCGAGACGCCTTTTCCTCGCAACGCTGACTGGATATTATTTGTGTTTATTTATCATGTGTTTTGCTTGGGGTAAGCAGTTCACAATATTATAAACTCTCAAAGCTAATTGTTTTAAGTAACCAATCACTTGGATCAAGACATAATTTAACATAAAAAATATGTAAATTCTATGTTTGAATCGTTGATAAAATGTGGCAAATATTAATCTCATGTAAATTTTGTTAGCTTTGCAATTTTTCACCTTATACAACTTTTCTCTACCTCACAATTTTAACCTCAGCAATTTTCTTTGTTGTATAATTTTAATTGAATGTAAATTTCCATGCTCTACAGTTTTAACCTCATGTAATATTTTTATTTGCACAAGTTAATGTCACACCAGATCTTATATTTTTATAAATCTTTGCTAGTTTTTGATCATGTACATACTTTGTTGATGAATGTTTCCATCATGTAAATTATCTGATGTCCAATTTTAATCTCAAATAAGAAATGTTGTTTATTGCTCTTTTGAAACTTTAACACTTGTTCAGTGGTCGTTAATATCAGAGTCATAGAAATTGAACATTTAATGGAATTGAGGTTAAATAAAACAGAAAAACGTGGCGGAAGCGGAGTGTGGGGTTCCTAGTCGAGCTACAACGCCCCTATGGGTATTTTTCACGTCAATTCAAGGCGGGATGTTTGGGTTATCACTGTATCTAGTGAGACGGTTAGTAGTGAAGTTCACTTGTTTGCTATTGTTTTTTTGGTCTGAGTGAAGACACGCGGTAAGGTAGCTAGATTAAGTTCAGTTGATTTGGTAGTTAATAAAAATTGGTCTAAAGAGTTTAGACAGTACTTCCCTAGCTGTCGGAAACTTGACGACTGCATGCCTATTGTGTTTTTTTTCTCATTACATTTTTGTAGTGGGAATTTAAAAAAAAATTGCGATGACGTCATCAACATTTTTGCAAGGACACGTATATCAGTTGGGATAGATGTAGTGTAATACTAAGAATAAAATTATTATATTCTCAAATTTTCGGGAAAATGAATTGGGTCGTTTGAATATTGATTTGTAATAATCAATAAAATAACGAAACAATTTACTCACGTATACCTACGTATCAGAGGCAACTGAAAATCGTGTATGTATAAACATTCTTAATTTAAGATGACAGGCGTAACAGCATACATGAGAGCCAAACAGAGAAACTGTAAACAAAACGACCGTCGGTTTTATTGCTTCGACTTCCGCTTATTATATAAAACATTGGGTTTTATTTTAATTCTTGACGGTGAAATTCACAATTGGTTGATTATAAACATGTCTATTTCACATTCGCGGAATCAAGTGAACGCATAAAACAAATGCAGGTCTGTAATGTTAAAGTCGATGTAAATAAGCCTGCTACCCTTATGTTTCAACCGAGTTTTTCCTTTAACAAATTTTGTGTCTACCAAATTGGGTTGGTTGGGGTGTAATACTAATAATAAGTGTTGCTTTTAATTTAATCAATAAAATAAATTGACTTCATTAATTTTTTTGAACCACCTCTTAAGAAAATCTAAAAAATATGAATGGAATGATAAATCACAAGTACAAACTCATCATATTTTTTGCATTTTAGATAGGATTTATTCAGCAAAATTTAAGGGTGACGTCATCAATTTTTTTAGGAGGGATGAACAAATACATTTTGAACAAAAGTTTACCATGCTTATAATAACTTTAAAATATTCCCAAGATTTCAAAGCATTCGGTTTTGTAATTCCTGATTAAATCGATAAAATAAATTCACGCCTTCATTAATTTTTTTGAGTCACCCTGCATATGCAAATCCAAAAATATGAATGGAATGATAAATCACAAGTACAGACTCATCATATTTTGTACATTTTAGATACGATTTATTCGGCAAACTTTTGAGCTGACGTCATCAGTTTTTTGTAGAAGATAACCAAATATATTTTGACTAAAAATTTGTTATGCTCTTTATAACCTTAAAACATCTGGAAGATTTCAAAGCATTCGGTTTTGTAGTTCCTGATTAAATCAATAAAATAAATTTACGCATTCATTAATTTTTTTGAGTCACCCTGTATATGCAAATCGAAAAAATTTGAATGGAATGATAAATCACAAGAAGAGACTCACCATATTTTGTACATTTTAGATAGGATTTTTTCAGCTAAATTTTGTGGTGACATCATAAATTTTTTAGGGGGGACGACCAAATACGTTTTGATCAAAAATTTACCATGCTTATGATAATTTTAAAATGTCTTCAAGATTTCGAAGCATTCGGTTTTGTAGTTCCTGAGTAAATCAGTAAAATAAATTTACGCTTTCATTTATTTTCTTGAATCACCCTGTATATGCAAATCCAAAAAATATGAATGGAGTGATAGATCACAAGTACAGACTGATCATATTTTGTACATTTTAGATATGATTTATTCGGCAAATTTTCGAGCTGACGTCATCAAGTTTTTGGAGGGGATAAGCAAATATATTTTGACTAAACATTTATTATGCTCTTTATAACCTTAAAACATCTGCAAGATGTCAGAGCATTCCGTTTTGTAGTTCCTGATTAAATCAATAAAATATATTTACGCATTCATTAATTTTTTTGAGTCACTCTGTATATGCAAATCCAAAAAATATGAATGGAGTGATAGATCACAAGTACAGGCTCATCATATTTTGTACATTTTAGATATGATTTATTCGGCAAACTTTCGAGCTGACGTCATCAAGTTTTTGGAGGGGATAAGCAAATATATTTTGACTAAACATTTATTATGCTCTTTATGACCTTAAAACATCTGCAAGATTTCAGAGCATTCGGTTTTGTAGTTCCTGATTAAATCAATAAAATATATTTACGCATTCATTAATTTTTTTGAGTCACCCTGTATATGCAAATCCAAAAAATATGAATGGAGTGATAGATCACAAGTACAGGCTCATCATATTTTGTACATTTTAGATATGATTTATTCCACAAACTTTTGAGCTGACGTCATCAAGTTTTTGGAGGGGATAAGCAAATATTTTTTGACTAAAGATTTATGATGCTCTTTATAGCCTTAAAACATCTGCAACATTTCAAAGCATTCTGGTTAGCAGATTAAAAATTAAATTTCAAAATGTTGTTTTATAATTTTGATTTTTTTTCCAAAAATCTGGACGTTTCGGGTGAAAAGTCGATTCAGAGTTGTAAACTACATGTGTAGGACTATGTTATTTTATACAATTGAAAACCCATTTACTATGTACAATTTTGAAGTGACGTCATCGCATTAGTGGTGGGGATGATTAGACAAATTTTGGTTAGCGTTTTACCATCTACATGATATTCTTAATATAAATAAGTACAAAATTTCACAACAATCGGTCGAGTACTTTCGGAGATTATCTGTCTAATAAAAATCCGGGACAACAGACGGACAGACGGACAGACGGACGGACAGACAGACGGAAATGGGAGACCTATTTCTTCGTCTTCTAGGGGTCATGAAAGATCGAGAAAACGTAAAAGTAGAGAGTCGGCCGACGGACTCGATTACAATACTTCCTTTGCTTACGCTCGGGAAGTAAAAAGGGGAAAACTTTGTTTAATTAACCATATCGATGACGACGCCACAGTTTTCCCTACTACTATTAACTGCTAATTAATTAACTATTGCTGTATTTCCAAGTGGAAATATGCGAATTTTCGACCGACGCTAACACGTGGTGTTGATTTATTGTTTGTAAATTCATAGTTCATATTAGGATTTTAATCGTTACAGGTTCTAATACGAATGAACAGTCATCAGATTATTTAGATAAAGCACTTGCTAGGAGATTTCATGAAATTCACTTAGTCAGGACTTTGTTTATAAATGTTTATAAATAAAGTTTATGAATGCTTATACTTAAGTGTTACATTATAACATTTCTTATTTCCTCACACAAGATTGCTAATTACGGCAGTTAAATTAACCTAACCTTGTCCTACTCTGGAAAAAGGGGCCGTGGAAAGTAAGGTAGAATTCTTAATATCGTGGACTGAGAGACGGGGGAATAAATTTTTCCCCTTAGGCAGTTATCATCATCACATCACTGAGACATATTTCTCGCGACCTGGGAAATTACACTACCGAGACGTAATTCTCGCGACGAGACATGCATTTTGTGTTTATATTTATCCTGTGTTTGTGTGGAATAAGCTGGGGACAGTCCACGATATAAACTCTCAAAGTTAATTGTTATAAGACGCAGATCTTGAATTGAAGTCAGGGGAGCGGTCGGGATTTCTAACTTTGCGACCGTAACGGCCCGTTAGCGCGGCTCGTTTCTTCGTGATAGAGAGTGGCTGGGCGGCATGTGCTTGCAGTAGTTAGAGTAGAATCACCGTCGTGGTGGGAGAACAGCCACAACCAGGAGCCCCAAACTCCTGTTGTACTACAGCGCCCGTAGTATTTTATTTAATAAACGAAAGTTAGAGCAATAAAAAAGTCTGGACCGTCGGCATTGTGATCCGGTTATTGCAATTCGTAGAAAACATCTTGTAGTTTAGTTTCTATTTCAATCTCACGTCTACAGGTTGATAAGTGTTATCGCTATTTGTCTAAAATTACGAGTACCATAAATAATTTTCAGTTCAGTCTGTTATTATGTACGACAAACCTGATTAAATTGTTTCGTGAATATAAATAACTACTTATTCAAGAACAACAATAATACAGTATTTTTATTATTAGTATTACAGTGCATCTATCCAAACTGATAATTATGTGTTTAGTGGGGTCAGAAAGTCGACTTTTTTAGGAAAGATTATAACGGATTTCAACAACAATTTTTTGCTCTAAATTTATTTGATGAAAAAATTTGACTAACATTGAACGCATTCGTGTGTCATTAACTCATTATGTCGTCGAGTCAAGAGTGAGAAAAAATTTCAACAAAGAAAAAAAACTTTTTAATACAAAAACATAGAAAGGAAAAGTAAATTAGGCTATATCCGGGGACTTATTTAATTAAACATTAGAAGTTGTTTTTATATATTTGCATCTTCGAAGTGAAAATAAGTATATTTTTTCTAATTAGTATTGATTTATGCTGTAAATGTGTTTGTTACTTTGTATGTACTCATTAATATTATAAACCTTGGAAAAACCAGTTTTCATCCGATAAAGAGCCTTTTGCAAAAATTTTAAACCCATTCCAAGCAAAGTTTTCTTTGTACTATTGTTAGTGTTTTGACATGGCTTTACCGTTTACCTTTCAAGCGCAGACTATTATCGCAGAGGGACGAACGTCCCAAATTGATGTTGACAGAATTAGAAACTGGTTGCAAACAAGCATGCTTCCACAGCTGCAGGATGAATTTATTGCGATATTTTTAATATCAAGTGAAAATAAAGTAGACAAGACGAAACAAATAATCGAGGCTTATTTCAGAATTAAGAATGGATTTCCACACATTTTTAACAACATAGATGTCCACAGTGAACAAATAAAAAATATACAAAAAGTATTGTAAGTACCATTGGGTTTATTATTATTATTATTTTTTGAACAACAGGATTCTAGAGGTTTGTGTATAGTTCCTAACAGAATGGACACGAATTCGGTTGTCATATGTGCAAAGTTAATTGACACAAATTACCGTAGTTTCGAACTTATAGCTGCGTTAAAATTATCTTTCTCGCACCTACATTTGATGCAAATTGAAAATCCTCCAAACGATTGTGTCCTGGTGTTTGATATGAAAGGGGTACCTGAAAATAACAAAGAAAATACTTTTTAAATGAACGACGAAATTTTAGGTTGGTTTCATGCATATGACGTGTCTTAAAATGGAAGTCGTTGTTACATATCTGAAATATATCCAAGAAGCATTACCTCTTAAAATAAGGGCGATCCACATTTTAAACAGCAACTACATTTTCTCTCGAATTCTTGATTTGTTTAAAATGTTCATGAAAAGCGAACTGTTAACCCTGGTAAAGTTAACGAAAGTCGTGTTTGCATTTCATCGAGTACTTCTGTTACAGTTTCATACACATTCTTCAGGAATGAAACTTGAAAAGTTTCACGAAGAGTGGGTGCCAGCAGCTTGTTTACCCAAAGAATATGGTGGTGAGGTATCCTTTGAAAAATTGATGAATCAAACGAAGAAGGGCATTAAGGAAATTCAACCATTTTTGGACGCAGAAGAACAACTTAGAAAATGCATATAAGCTCGGGTTTTTGTTTCGTTGTTTTTAAGTTTCCTAGGTGTCCTAGGTGTCTGGTGGCAGTATTTTTGAAAAAAAAAAAAAATCAAAACGACTGGAGTATTTTATTATTTAAGACTACCCATCTGACAGTTTTTATTAAACTAACACATGTTCTAACAAGGACTGCGTATTAAGTGACTATGATAATAATAATAATAAACAAAAGCAAGGCGGATTCATAAAGTACAAGTACAAGAGTACATTATTGCATACAATTTAAATGGTATTCACTGTTCACCAAATTGTATGATCACATTTCCCAACAAAATTAACTGAAACGATGTAATAAACACATGCTTTATTTAGCTGCAGGCATTATTGCATCTATCGCAAGCCACTTTCTTATAATGAATTTTAAAAAGTTTAAGCCACATTACAGTGTCGACAGGTATTGGCAACACATTTGTGACAAAATTTTCAAGTTAGCAAAATTTCGGAACCTAAATAGTGCCGCTTGTATTCTAATTCGTTACTTAACTTATTAACCAGAAGTAACTTTAAAATAAAGATTCTTGCTCTTTGACCCACTATTCGGAAGGATCGTTCTCTACACAAAAAAACTAACTGGAGTTGGACACACGTAACCTTGGAAACAAGTTCCTTCACCGGATTGTAATACATGTGCAAGAATTGCAAAATAAACTTTGCAGTTTGTTGGTTTGAGACATTCACTCTTAAGTCCTAGGCTGTTTACAACGAAAGTGTTAGTTCAGTGCTGTATCCAGAAACATGTCTCTACCATTTCGCTTTACACCCAAATCAATAATTGCAGATGGGCGAACTACCCAGTCCCATATAGATACTATCAAAAATTGGCTGAATGCAACAACATTACCACAGCTTCAAGAAGAATTCATTACTTTGTTTCTTATATCTTGTAACAATGACATTGATGCCACAAAGGGCACCATTGAAGGTTACTTTAAAATAAAAAAAGGGGCCCCACAGATTTTTGACAACTGTAATTTGGATAGTGAAGAGTTGAAAAATATTCAAAAAGTGATGTAAGTATTTTGAATGTAGTGCTCTTTGTAGAACTAGAATGACTTTCGCAGAGGTATTTATGTGGCCCCTACAAGAATGGATAATAACACTGCTGTAATTTGCGCAAAAATGATGGACACTAATTATCGTCATTGTGATATTGTATCAGCAATGAAACTAGCTGTTATGCATGCTCATTTTATGCAGATAGATGACCCACCAAATGAATTAGTTATAATATTTGATATGGAGGGGGTAAGTAATTTACTATCAATTTGATAACAGCACTATGTATGCGGGGTTTCAGATTGGATTTATGCACTTGACGTGCCTTAGAATGTCTAGCGTGATTTCGTATTTGAAGTATGTGCAAGACGGTGTACCACTAAAAATCCGCGACGTTCACATTCTAAACTGTAATTATGTGTTCGACAGAGCCATTGACCTCTTTAAAATGTTCATCAAGAGTGAACTGATGAAAATTGTAAGTGTGTCCAATCTAGCCAATAATAATTAGTAATTTTGTTGTGATTGCAGGTGCGATCGTATCCTCCGGGTATGAATATGGAAACGTTTCGGAAAGAGTGGGTGCCGTCATCATGTTTACCCAAAGAATATGGAGGTGATTTGCCCGAATTTGATAGCTTAATAAGTGTAACAGCGAAGCAGTTAAAAACGATGCAACCGTTTTTTGACGAGGAGGAAAAGCTTAGAAACGGTCACAATAGTTTGTTTATAAAATAATAAATAGTGTCATTATTGTTTTAAGGCGGTTTACAAAAGTTCAGAACTATTACTATTGTGTAAATTAATGTACGTATGAAGCCATATCATTTTTGATTGGATTGATTTGGAAAGAATCTTACGTCAATCCGTGGAGGTAGGGTACCTCATGCGTCAATCTATAACAAGTTTTTGTATCAGACCAGCTTTAGGCGGGCCTGCTGGCCAAGTTTTGTTTTCTTTTGGATACCAATAGATAGTAAACACGATTATCAGTTGCGGAATCAAGGACTGTACAAAAACGAAACCGCTGGAATTAAACAATTAGTTATTACACAATAAAGGGAACAGCTGTGAATTTAAATAAATAAATGAGTAAAAAAGGTTTGCCCTGAGTTGAAATTTCTTCTTGCTTTAACCCACAGGTTTATAGGGCAACGAAGGCCACATCCAGGATGTCATATAATTATTGTAAATCAAAATATGCCAAGACAAAATTTGTAAATAACAATTTATCGTTTAGGTTGTACTCTTGTTAAAATTATTAAATAGTTGTAACACATATTCTGTATCTGAAGTATTTTTAAAAATATCCCTAATATACATGTACAATTTTACCACAAGCGATCCGATATTTTCGGAAATAATCCGTCTAATAAAAATTGACACAGACGACCGACAGACAGACAGACGGAACCGTGAGACCTACTTTTTCGCATTCTAGGGGTCCTGAAACATCGAGAAAGCATGAAAGCAGTCATTCATCGGTTGGACCCTATTACAATACTAAGCAAAATTGTGGATTTTAACTTTATAAACCCAACAAACTTCCACCTTTAAGGGAGCTTAGCTAAACATTTTTACTTTCTGAGCGTAAGCTAATGAACTATCGTAATCGAGTCCACCTGACGAATGGCCAATTTTTTTAACAATAGATATCAAAATATCTGCGTTTTTTAATTGACGGCAATTTTTTTTGGGGTTATAATATTTTTAGATGTGTGTTAGATTTAACCATATACATATATGTTACAGATAATTTGAATTTTTAAGCGACACAGGTCAGGTTAGGTCAGGTCAGGTCAGGTTATCTTCAAATGTGTCCGTCTATCTGTCTGTCCGTTTGTCTGCCGTCTCGGATTTTTATTAGACAGATATTCTCCGAAAGTACTGGGCCGATTGTTGTCAAATTTTGTATTTATATCTCGAATATCATGTAGATGGTAAAACGCTAACCAAAATTTGTCTAATCATCACCATTAATAACGCGATGACGTCACTTCAAAATTGTACACAGTAAATGGGTTTTAAATCGTACGTCCAGATTTTTGGGAAAACATTATAAAACAACATTTCGCAATTTAATTTTGAATCTGCAAAACGGAATGGTTTGAAATCTTGCAGATGTTTTAAAGTTTAAATCTAAATTGTACAAAGTAGGATGAGTCTGTACTTGTAATTTATCTTTCCATTCATATTTTTTGGATCTATATATACAGGGTGGAAGAAATATCTAGTTTACTGTTATCTACCGTATCTGTTGTTTATTTTATAGTTACTAGGAAACAGGGGCGGCTTGTACTATGAGGCCGGTGAGGCAGTGCCTCAGCAATGAATTTGCGCTCTTTTATTATTTTTATTATTTCTGGCCAATATAATGTTTTTTTTTCTATTCCTTATTTTAAAAATAAACGTGAAAAATTACTGTTATTCTTATCTTGGTAGATGGATATTAGCTCTTTCGAAGAAACTAGAAGAATCTGAAAGAGTCTGCATGGATCTGAAATGATCTGGGAAAATTTGAAAGTATCTGAGAGGATTTAAGATTTATTCAAATTCTTTCATTTTCTTAACGATACTTCTTTTCGAATTCCTTGGATTCTTTGTGATTCTCTCTTTCGCATTTCTCGGATTCTTTCGAACATTTGAGATTCTTTCAAATCAGAAATCCTCAAGATTCTTTAAAATTTTTTAGTTCTGTTCAAATTGTTTCAGATCCTTACAAATTTTCATAGATTTTGCTAGAATCTTCGAGATTTTGCTCCAGGGAATATGAGAAAATCTCGAAGAATCCGGAAGAATGTGAACGATTTTGCAGGATTCTAAAGTGATGTGGAAAAATTTGAAAGGATCTGAAAGGATCTGAAAGGTGAAAAATTCTTAGAGAATCTGAGAGAATAAAAAAAATCTGAAGGAATCTGAAATAATCTAAGAGAATGACTGTTCTGTGCTCTTGGGTAAAATTAATTTTCTATTACCATGGTATACCCGCCAATATATTTCTTTTTATATTAACTCTGCTACAACTAATGCTTTAGATAGATCTCCGATTAATTTAATGTGAGGTTTATTTAATTGTATTTCTAATAACTCTGATATTCATAACAGTGGCGGCTCGTGAGATTTTTGGTAGGTTGGGCAAGGTGAAGCGGTAGGTACCTAATCAAAAGTATTTTATGTATTACGAGGTTCTTACGGCGTAGTTATTCTGTACGTTTTTTGGTTTGAGCTCCGTTTTAGCCGGCATAATTCCAAAATATGAAAAATACACCGTTCGGCAAGAACCACGTGAAGGTTCGGAGCGATATCTTGCCGGGGAAGGAAAAAATGAAAGGTCATTGTTAGTGTGGGGCATTGAAGGTTAGTAAATATGTAAAAAAAAAACTAAAAATAAACTCTACATAAAAAATAATAAAACCAATATAACAAATAATAAAAATAAAAATAAAAAATTCTCAAAACATAAAAAAATTCTTAAATAGAAAATCGTAAAAAACAAAAAATAAACTCTAAATAATAATTAACAGTATAACAAAATAAAAAATATTCTAGAGTGATGCTTTTTGAAACTCTTGAGATAAAAAAAAATATGAACTGGTATTTGGCACATTTTTATAAAATAAGTCAATGCGTCTATTTTTTTGTAAGGCAAAATGGTCTATTACTCTGTCATAAAATTGTGTTGTTTGGACTTGTTTTTTGATCAAACCCCTTTCGATGGCAATCTTTGATAAACTAGATAATCTCGTCTGAGTCATTGAATTTCTAGTGAAAGTTTTTATTCTTTTTAAAGTTGAAAAGCTTCTTTCCACTGAAGCTGAAGTCGAGGGTAAACATAAAGCGATACAAAGCAATTTATATATTTCTGAAATCTCATTTTGCAGATCATTAATAAAAATGAAATATTTAAAATGTCGGCATAATTCGAAGAATCTCCAAGTAGGTCTATATCTGAATACCACACGCGCAACTGACTTTGCAACTTAGCTTGGGTGAACATATTTTTATAATTCTTAAGTAAGGAATTAACTAAATTTTGGGGAAACGTTTGTCTGTATGACATAAATTTGTCTTTATTCAATAAATCTAGAAAATCTAAAGTTGCCATATCTCTAAATCTAACTTCTATTTGAGTAGTTATTATGTCAAGAATTTCATTAAATACGCGTTTGAAATACGTTTTAGGATCATCAATTCCATCATAGTTCGACTTACGTTTCTTAGATAAATTTGGTGGCTCAGTAATATTGGAAACTGTATTATATATTTTATTAAAATAATTGTCATTTGATCTGAAATTATTTAATGTTTGCTGCAAATTTTCTATTCTTTTCTTACAGTATGATATGTCTGTCGATTTGGACTGAATTATATCGAAAATGAATTCTGTTTGTTCAAATATGAGACTGAAAATATGAAGCAATATTAAAAAATTAAAATTTTTCAGGATTTTTTTAAAGCCTATCGCCTCTCTAATCGCATCGCCGTCTCTTACAAAATCTTCGGAATCAATAATTTTGTCAAAAACAAGTACAAGTATGTCCCTTTCTTCAATTATAACATTTATCAAACGTGATTTAAAGTTCCATCTGGTGTCGGATCCGCTAGGTATTCTCCTAGTACACATTTGATCTAAAATATTAGTCATTTTTGTTGATTTAGAAAAATATGTGGGAAATCCTTTTATGTTTGCAAAAAAAATCGACATTCTTTAATAAATGTTGATGCGTCTTGTAATATGAGATTTAACCTATGAGCGTAGCAGTGAGTGAACAGAGCTTGAGGAGCTATCTGCTTAACCCTTGATTGTAACCCATTCAATTCACCAGACATTACGGAAGCACCATCATAAGTTTGACCGATCAGCTTATTAGTGATATCGTATTTACTAAAATTTTCTATTAACAAATTAAATAAATCAGCAGCGGTTCTACCTTCACTAGCGTCAAAAATCCCATAAAGCTTTCAACAGCTTTACCCTCTTTTACATAACGAAAAATTACAGATACTTGAGATCGGCAATTAATATCAGTGCTCTCATTAAACTTGCCACGAAAAAAAGGGGCTCATTTTAATTTCGTTTTCTATAATCTCACTAATTACTTTATTAATACTTTCAATTAACTCGTTTTGAATAGTTTTTAGTGAATACCGAAGATTCATCCAAAAATACCTTAAATTTATTATCATATTTGGAGAGCAGTGACGCTAATTCCCTAAAATTTCCCTGATTTAAAGAATCTCTTGATTCATTGTGACCGCGGAATGCTTGTTCTTGGGTTGCTAAATAAATGATCATATCAATCAGCCTCGTTATTATTTCTCTATTTTCTTTAACCAGTTCATTATGCTTTAAAATACTTTGAACATGGGCTGAATCTATTGAATCTTGAATATTATTTTTTCCAAACAATTTAAATTTTAAAGACGCATGAGTATGTTGTTCTGAGTTTCCATGTTTTTGCAACGATTCGGATAAATGTTTTAAGTCGTCGTAGCCACTAGTCCAAGGACTTTGCTTAGTCTCAGAAAATAAAAGACAACTCCAGCAGTAAAGTTTGTTTCGCTTTTCGCTTCCCGTGAGCCAGTTATACTTATCGTACCAATTATTATTAAACCCTCTGTTACCTCTGCTGCCTTTATTTTTCATTATTAAATTTTTCATTTGTGGACGTGGTTTCAATTTTACTATAAAAAGTTTATCATCATAATTTACTCTGCTAAATTTAGTCTCCAATAAGAAATTTACGACATCATCATTATTGTTGACCACCTCCCGGATGTTTGTATTTAAACTAATACCTGTACCCGATGTTGAAGGCGATGACGATGACAGAATACTACTGTTACAGCTTGTCAAATTGTTACCATTTGCCATGATTTTTATGTTACGATTATTGCACTAAAAAACAATTAAATTACATCACCACAACCCCTCAGAACACTAAACAATTTTGTAATATTTAACGGTTCACGATGTGACACGAGGCAACTACGAAACTATCCGATTGGGCAAGCCCAGCTTGTATCGTCAACCCGTAAGCCTTACCAGCGGTGGCTGTGTGCATTACCGAATACAATGTTACGATATTCGAAATAGCAGATAAAATACGAATCTGACACAAATCAGTTTTTTTTTCAGCCAAGATGTGGAAAAATTTTTCACTATGACGATTAGCCGTAATGAAAATTGTTTTAGTTCGTGTTTTGTCCGTATCATTTACACTATAAAACAAATTGAATTTATTAAAAAAATGATATTACTGATTATTTGAAAGAAATTATGTACCTATAATTTTCAATTCCATTTTTAAATTCTCATTATAGCAACTACATTTTTCAGCGAAGCCCTAATCCAGTGTGTAGTATGTACCCGTATTATTTATATGCTTTATATGTGAGCTCTGGGCTAGCCCGAGCTTGGTCACTCGTGGTGTATCCCTACTCCACGCCAGCCAACGCAACAGAGCCTGCGACTATGTGGTGTTCTCTGTTTTTCAGACTAATCTCGGTATGGTAGATGCGTACAGATTAATTCAGGCGTCTCGGGCTAGCCCGAAGATCACTTTTATCCGAAAATAAGGAGTATAACGAATATGTTGAACGTAGGAATTTTAAGGAACATAATTGAAAGGATTTGTTATCGGATTTATTTTGTATAAAATTTGAGAAATTCATATTTTATTAATTTTAAAACCCCGAAAAAATTAGGTTGGGCACTCCCCACCTTGCCCACTCCCACCAGCCGCCACTGATTCATAACGATTCATTAAAATTGATCTCTGCTATCTTGCTAAACGTTGTATAATCATATTATATATTTTCGATATACTCTTATTATGTTAAAAGTCACTTAATTTTTTTGTTAATTTTCTAGTTATTTTTTGTAGGAAGATATTTTTAGTTTATTTGGTTTCTGTAATTGGTATCTCTTCTAGTTCAAATTAGCAAATATTATTATTATTATTATTAATATTATTATTATTATTAAAATCGAGGAAATCCTAAAGAATCTCAGGGAATCTAAGAGAATTTGAAAGATTCGTAAAGAACCTGAAGGAATTTGAAAGAATCTGAGGGAACCTTTGACAATCGTAGAGAATTTTCAAGAATTTCGAAGAATTTAGAAAAAAAAACTGGAGGAATCTGGAAGAATATGTACGGATCTGAAACGATCTGAATGGAATTGAAAAATTTGAAAGAATCTTGAGGATTCCTGGCGGCATCTTTGACAGAATTTTAAAAAATTTGAAAGAATTGGAAACAATCCGGAAGCATCAAAAAGCATCCGGAATAATCAAAAACAATAAAAAAAGTCGCAAAAATCGGAAGGAGAGAATTAGAAAGTGAAAGAATCTGAAAACATTTGAAAGAATCTGGAGGAAGTTGAGGGAATTTGAGAAAAATTGCGAAATGCGAAAGAATCTGAGAGATTCGGAAACTATTTGAAGGAACCTGAGGAAACCTGTGAGAATCTCGAAGAAACTAGAAAAGTGCTGCAAAAATTTGGAAGAATCGTGAGGATTCCTGACGGTGTCTTTGAAAGAAGAAATTTGAAATTTGCTTTAAAATTTTACTTAACTAAAAGAAAAAAAAATTGGTCTAAAGAGTTTACACAGTACTTCCCTCGCTGTCGGAAACTTGACGACTGCATGCCTATTGTGTTTTTTTTCTCATTACATTTTTGTAGTGGGAATTTAAAAAAAAATTGCGATGACGTCATCAACATTTTTGCAAGGACACGTATATCAATTGGGATAGATGTAGTGTAATACTAAGAATAAAATTATTATATTCTCAAATTTTCGGGAAAATGAATTGGGTCGTTTTGAATATTGATTTGTAATAATCAATAAAATAACGAAACAATTTACTCACGTATACGTGTTATGATATCAGCATAAGTCCACAATGGACAATCATTCTGCAGACCCATATCCTGCCACGTGCAAGATGCGCTTCCACACTTGCATCAATATCAACATGAGAACTTCAATTCTGCAGTTTTCCTCCTTATAAAAGGCATCGAAATAATTCATTTTTCAGTTCAGAAGCATCCGTCATCCGCGTAACCAAGTTCAGAAGCATCCGTCATCCGCGTAACAGTTCAGAAGCATCCGTCATCCGCGTAACTAAGAAGCCGCCGCCGCGTAGTTTATAAGCCCGTCATAATCGCGCTCTCCCAATAAGCTGTAATAATTTAAGTGAATAATTGTGAAGTAGAAATAAGTGAATAATCAAATAATTGTGAATAGTCAATCAATATAAAATAATCCAATAATCAATAATCAAGTGTAATAATAATATTTGTGAATAAAAGAAAAGTTCTTTTTAAAAACAAGTTTATTAAACCAATAAACTTAACTTACGTATCAGAGGCAACTGAAAATCGTGTATGTATAAACATTCTTAATTTAAGATGACAGGCGTAACAGCATACGTGAGAGTCAAACAGAGAAACTGTAAACAAAACGACCATCGGTTTTATTGCTTCGACTTCCGCTTATTATATAAAACATTGGGTTTTATTTTAATTCTTGACGGTGAAATTCACAATTGGTTGATTATAAACATGTCTATTTCACATTCGCGGAACCAAGTGAGCGCATAAAACAAATGCAGGTCTGTAATGTTAAAGTCGATGTAAATAAGCGTGCTACCCTTATGTTTCAACCGAGTTTTTCCTTTAACCAATTTTGTGTCTACCAAATTGGGTTGGTTGGGGTGTAATACTAATAATAAGTGTTGCCTTTAATTTAATCAATAAAATAAATTGACTTCATTAATTTTTTTGAACCACCTCTTAAGAAAATCTAAAAAATATGAATGGAATGATAAATCACAAGTACAAACTCATCATATTTTGTACATTTTAGATACGATTTATTTGGCAAACTTTTGAGCTGACGTCATCAGTTTTTTGTAGAAGATAACCAAATATATTTTGACTAAAAATTTATTATGCTCTTTATAACCTCAAAACATCTGCAAGATTTCAAAGCATTCGGTTTTGTAGTTCCTGATTAAATCAATAAAATAAATTTACGCATTCATTAATTTTTTTGAGTCACCCTGTATATGCAAATCGAAAAAATTTGAATGGAATGATAAATCACAAGAAGAGACTCACCATATTTTGTACATTTTAGATAGGATTTATTCAGCAAAATTTTGTGGTGACATCATAAATTTTTTAGGGGGGACGACCAAATACGTTTTGATCAAAAATTTACCATGCTTATGATAATTTTAAAATATCTTCAAGAATTCGAAGCATCCGGTTTTGTAGTTCCTGAGTAAATTAGTAAAATAAATTTACGCTTTCATTTATTTTCTTGAATCACCCTGTATATGCAAATCCAAAAAATATGAATGGAGTGATAGATCACAAGTACAGACTGATCATATTTTGTACATTTTAGATATGATTTATTCGGCAAATTTTCGAGCTGACGTCATCAAGTTTTTGGAGGGGATAAGCAAATATATTTTGACTAAACATTTATTATGCTCTTTATAACCTTAAAACATCTGCAAGATGTCAGAGCATTCCGTTTTGTAGTTCCTGATTAAATCAATAAAATATATTTACGCATTCATTAATTTTTTTGAGTCACTCTGTATATGCAAATCCGAAAAATATGAATGGAGTGATAAATGACAAGTACAGGCTCATCATATTTTGTACATTTTAGATATGATTTATTCGGCAAACTTTCGAGCTGACGTCATCAAGTTTTTGGAGGGGATAAGCAAATATATTTTGACTAAACATTTATTATGCTCTTTATGACCTTAAAACATCTGCAAGATTTCAGAGCATTCGGTTTTGTAGTTCCTGATTAAATCAATAAAATATATTTACGCATTCATTAATTTTTTTGAGTCACCCTGTATATGCAAATCCAAAAAATATGAATGGAGTGATAGATCACAAGTATAGACTCATCATATTTTGTACATTTTAGATATGATTTATTCCACAAACTTTTGAGCTGACGTCATCAAGTTTTTGGAGGGGATAAGCAAATATTTTTTGACTAAAGATTTATGATGCTCTTTATAGCCTTAAAACATCTGCAACATTTCAAAGCATTCTGGTTAGCAGATTAAAAATTAAATTTCAAAATGTTGTTTTATAATTTTGATTTTTTTTCCAAAAATCTGGACGTTTCGGGTGAAAAGTCGATTCGGAGTTGTAAACTACATGTGTAGGACTATGTTATTTTATACAATTGAAAACCCATTACTATGTACAATTTTGAAGTGACGTCATCGTATTAGTGATGATTAGACAAATTTTGGTTAGCGTTTTACCATCTACATGATATTCTTAATATAAGTACAAAATTTCACAACAATCGGTCGAGTACTTTCGGAGATTATCTGTCTAATAAAAATCCGGGACGGCAGACGGACAGACGGACAGACGGACGGACAGACGGACGGACTGACGGACGAACAGACGGACGGACAGACGGACAGACGGACAGACAGACGGAAATGGGAGACCCATTTCTTCGTCTTCTAGGGGTCATGAAAGATCGAGAAAACGTAAAAGTAGAGAGTCGGCCGACGGACTCGATTACAATACTTCTTTTGCTTACGCTCGGGAAGCAAAAACAATTTTGGGAAATGTTTCGTGTAATTTGTAAAACCCAATTTTTGCCAGATCGTAATCTTATTTCGAAAACTTAAGGTAGGGATAATCGAAAATAATAAACTACCCCCCCGTTTTGCAAATATTTTTTGATTATTGTTTTTCAAAAACATCACCACCAGAAATTTTCCCTAGGACACTTAAAAACAACGAAACAAAAAACTTATATGCATTTTCTAAGCTGTTCTTCTGCGTCCAAAAATGGTTGAATTTCCTTAATGCCCTTCTTCGTTTGATTCATCAATTTTTCAAAGGCTATCTCGCCACCATATTCTTTGGGTAAACAAGCTGCTGGCACCCACTCTTCGTGAAACTTTTCAAGTTTCATTCCTGGAGAATGTGTATGAAACTGTAACAGAAGTACTCGATGAAGTGCAAACACGACTTTCGTTAACATTACCAGGGTTAACAGTTCGCTTTTCATGAACATTTTAAACAATTCAAGAATTCGAGAAAAAATGTAGTTGCTGTTTAAAATATGGATCGCCCTTATTTTAATAGGCAATGCTTCTTGGATATATTTCAGATATGTAACAACGACTTCCATTTTAAGACACGTCATGTGCATGAAACCAACCTAAAATTTCATTGTTCAGCCAAAAATTATTTTCTTTGTTATTTTCAGATACCTACCCCTTTCAGATCAAACACCACGACTAAATCGTTTGGAGGATTTTCAATTTGCATCAAATGTAGGTGCGAGAAAGATAATTTTAACGCAGCTATAAGTTCGAAACTACGGTAATTTGTGTCAATTAACTTTGCACATACGACAGCCGAATTAGTGTCCATTCTGTTAGGAACTAGACACAAACCTCTGGAATACTTTTTGTTCAAAAAATATTATTTATAAACCCAACGGTACTTACAAGACTTTTTGCATATTTTTTATTTGTTCACTGTGGACATCTATGTTGTTAAAAATGTGTGGAGATCCATTCTTAATTCTGAAATAAGCCTCGATTATTTGTTTCGTCTTGTCCACTTTATTTTCACTTGATATTAAAAATATCGCAATAAATTCATCCTGCAGCAGTGGAAGCGATGTTGTTTGTAACCAGTTCCTAATAGTATCAACATCCATTTGGGACGTTCGTCCCTCTGCGATAATAGTTTGCGCTTGATAGATAAACGGTAAAGCCATATCAAAACACTAACAACATTACGTACAAAAATCATTCTGGAACGAAGATATACCTTTTTTAAGGCTCTCCATTCTTAGTTGCTTAAAAACTGGTTTTTCAAGGATTATTATGCTAATTAAGACTCTCCCTGAAGCAAAGATATCCAGTTTTTGCAAAAAGTTTTTTCTCCACATTTAGTCGGATTTCAAAACTGGTTTCTTGAAGTTTATAATAGGTAGAACATACTAAGTAATGAACACATTTACAGCATAAAATAACTGTAATTAAACAAATGTATTTTCACTTGGAGGGGGCAAATATATAAAAGCAACTTCTAATGTTCAATTCACTACCGGCGGAAAGTATTTCATTCCTGTCGAGAGAACTATAGTTTACCAACAGGCGCAACCTCTAGGTAACCCAGTTTTGCCGAGGTTTATCTACTATTTTATTCACAATCATTTCATGATACAAGGTTTTTATACATAAATGATTTTAAGATTACAGTTGGCCAAGGATTTCAAAAGTCCCGCTTCGTTGAAATTATGCCTCATTATGATAGTTTTCACTTCTCATTAATGTCATTTGTAACCTATCATTTAAAATTGCCGCTTTTATTTTTCTAACCTTTTTCAAGTGTGAATTACCATAATTAAGAATAATTATAAAACGGTAGATGGCAGAAATTTTGAATGGACTGAAGAAGAGGCCAGACTCAAGAAGGTAGAAAATTTTTAGTAAAGAGCCAAAAGAAAAGGAAGAAAATGAGGAAAAATGAAAGGAAACAAGGTAAAGGAGAAGGAAAAGGAATAAAGGATACAGATAGGGAAATCGGAAAAAGGAAAGCTGGTACAAAATTAGTGGAAAAAGGGGTGAAGGTACTGTTTTGGAATGTTCAAGGGTTGCGAAAAAAGGAAAAGGAGTTCTGGGACTACGTGGGAAAATTTGATGTGATAGTGCTAGTAGAGACATGGGTCCAAAGACAAAACTGGGAGAAATTTGAAGAGACACCACCGCGAGAATATGTGTGGGGGTGTCAAGGGGCGACAAAGGAAAAGAAAACTAATAAAAAAAGTAATAATAAAAACGGACTAATGAAAAAAGTAATACTGGATAATAATAGATGGGAAATAATAATCGTTTATAGCAAGAAAATGGAAGAAACCAAGATAAACATAGAAAAGGAAACAAAAGAAATAGGAGATGAATAATACTTATAGGAGGGGATTTTAACGCAAGACTGGGCGATAAGGTGACAATAATAATAGACAAAGAAAAGGGAGAGAAAAGAGGATCGAAAGACTAAGCAAATAACATAGAAGGGAAAATGTTGTGGAAGGTAAAAGAAGAAATGGGATGGGAAATTTTGAATGGAAACAAGGAAGGAGAATGGACGTACGTAGGGGCTGGGGGAGAATGGGATTGTCAACGACGAGGCATGGGAAGAAATAGAGAGTTTCAAAGTGGAGGAAAGGGTGGAATGAGACCACATGCCACTAGAATAAAAATCAAAGGAAAAGAGCAAGAATACGAAAAACAAGACAGAAGAAACGAGTGAAAAGAAATAGAAAAAAGAATATGGGATGAAGAGGGAATTCAAAGATAGAGAAGTAGACTAAAAAAAAAGAAAGTTGAAGTAAAAGAAGATATAGAAGCTATGATAGCAGCACTGATCAACTTAATTGAAGAAGCCACGGAAAAAAGAAAGATATACATATGGCAAGGGAGGAATATAGGATGGAACGGAGAATGTAGTGAGTTGAAGAGAAAAGCAAGGGAAAAATTAAGAAAATGGAAGAACAACAGGGGACGGAAAGAAGAGTACTTAAAAGCATGAGAGAATTATAGAAAAAACAGAAAAACGAGAAGAAGAATAGAGGACAATAAAGTCCCTGAAAACAGAAAAAGAAGTATGGAGATATATAAACAAGGGACGGAGAAGAAAGACTGAAGTCAGTAGGAAAATCAAAATACATAAATGGAAAAGACACTTTATGGAATTATTGGGAAGTTGTGAAGAAAAATGTTGCAAAATAAATAAAGAAATCACAACGACGGAAGAAATGTGGAGAGGTTCGGAAATAACAGAAGATGAAACTGAAGACAGATTGAAAGACTGAAAAGAGGAAAGGTACCAGGAGGGAATGGAATCCAGAACGAAGCGTAGATGTTCGGGACAGAAGGAGTGAAAGAAAGGATATGGGAAGTCGTAGATGGGGTTTGGAAGGGAAAAGGGCAGGGGCGGCTTGTCCTATGAGGCAGGTGAGGCAGTGCCTCACCAATGAATTTTACGCCTTATTAGGATTTTTATTATTTTATACGGACACATTTCGGCCAATAATTTGTGTCTTTTTTTCTAAAATTTTAAAAATAAATATAGAAAATTATATTCTTATTTTTATCTCGGTAGGTACTCGTTGCTCCCTTAATTAAACAGCGCGCTTAAACACTCGGCACAACATGTATTTTGTGACGCGAATGAGGCAGACTCGAAGCTTGCCTCTACACTACTCTACAGCATATATAGAAATCATGTCGTGCAATGCACTCATAAGCGGTATGAGTTGAAAAAAGACAAAATTGAGGCTAGCCTCATTTCCGTGCTTGCAAAAGAGATGGACAACTATAATATTTGCGTGCGGGGAACGTGCGATTACAATGCAGTCTGCATTCGCAGGAGTATTCAAAATTAGGCCGTTGATTGTTTTGCCACAAATCTGTGTGTGTATAAATTGATTCAAAATTTCGGTAACAGAATTTTGTCTTAAAAGTGCCTACGTTTGCGTGGGTCGCGTTAGTGCTTTGTGCTTGTCATAATTTGATTTCGGTAATCGTTATTTAAGATTACGAGTAAATCGGAATTTTTCTCTACTAACGTTAAATGACAATGGCAGTTCTGTTTTTTCTACTTTTACGTATGATGATAAATTGTATGTAGTTAAGGAATTAAAACCGCCGGTTCCTGATTTGAGTAAATCGTTAATTGATCCATAAAAAAAATTAAAATGAATCCGTATTTATATTTTATATTTTTTTCATTTTGTTTTTTGTTATAAATCAAATTAGCTTTATTTTATGTTGTATTTGATCTTTTTCGATATGTTTTCTTTAAAGTTTATTTTAATTTTGTTTTTTGTTAGAAGTTATATTAGTTTTTTCTGACCACGCTTCCCTTTCCTTTTGTCCTGTCATTCTCATCCTTTCCTTGCAAGACCTCCTTACACCTTCACGTTGGTTCTTTGTGGACAGTTAAATGAGTTTACAAATTTGTTTATTTGACTAAATAGAAAATATTTAAGTAATCTTGATTTATTTATATTTTAGAGCGTTTTGTGCTTTGCCTCATCAATATTTCAAGTCATGAGCCGCCCCTGGAAAAGGGTTTTCTCGACAATGGGAAGAAGTCATAATAATGCCATTATTTAAAAAGGGACAAAAAAGTGATGCGAAGAACTACCGAGGGATCACCTTGGTCAATACGGCGTACAAGATATACGCGATGATACTAGATGAGAGGTTACGAAAGGAGATGGAAGTAAGGGGTATGTTACCAGATGGTCAGGCAGGGTTTAGGAAAGGAAGATGTACTATGGACAATGTGTACATCCTGCAGCATTTAGTGATAAGACAACTAAGGAAAGAGGGTGGATGAATGTACTGTGACGAGCCGTCACTAAATTCGTTCACGAGAAAATTGTAACTAAAAAGACTAATAACAAATCCCCAAAACATAACTCGAAAATTTGCAAACCTTAATTAATTAACACGCATGTCCTAATCGGCATATAGTACCATTCAAATAGATAAACAAAATCAACCATCAATCCCCAAATGCAGGAACAAAATTCGCGTATTCGAAAATTGCGAATAACATTGCGCTTGCCAGACTTTGCACATAACTTGTACAAAATAATACGCCATAAACATCGCCAATCGCAATTACTTTCATCTAAAATTGTATCCAAACTAAAACAGCTGCAAACGAAACCCAGACACATAAACAACCCCAGGAAAAACGCCCTCTTTAAAAATAGCTACAACAAGCTAACCACATGTAGCGATGACGACATGAAAAGCATGACGCAAGTTGAAAAACCCCGAAAATATACGACACACTAACCAATAAAAAACGTCAGCCACGGAACCATAATTAAAAGCTAAACCCTATAAAACAACGAAATAAAACCTAAAATCCCGTACCGAGTAATACACTAATCATTAGACAGCGGATTTCTGTCGGGCTACGTCACGATATAGGTGGGGACGCGCTGCATCGCCGGGACTCAGTAGCGGGTGATAGGTAATCACTGAATTTAATTGTCACTTGATTCCATAAATACAATTAACGATTTATTAATCAAACGGCTAAATAAATGAGAACTGGAATTAACAGCAGAGTGCAACGAAGCAGCGTTATTCTAATCTCAAATAAACGAAGTGCAGCCGGTAACTGCAATAAATTCCCATCCCGTACGAGCCGTACCGAGTTTGGCCTTGTCTAGCCCGACAGAAATCCGCTCTCTACTAATCATGAAGAAATATAGTCCACTAAAGTCGCGGGAGACAAGAATAATGAGTAAAAATCCCTATATAAGCAGTAGCGAAGAAAACGGTTTGGGTAGAAGTTTCCAGTTGCGGTCGAAGACTCTGCCGAATCGTTCGTCGAGATTTTTATTAATTTTGCTGAATTTTGAAGAAATCCGAACTTAGAAGAATTTGCTGAGCCCGAGAGGAAGATAGAAAAATTCTCAATGCTGCAGCTGTGTAAATTTACCTTTTAGTCATTCTTGATTTATCTTGCTTTCCGTTTTTTCGTCATGTGTTCTCGAGTTCGAATCGTACATGTGTAGCGTTTAATTTATGCGTTTTCTTCGTTACATTGGGTGTGAACAGTTAGCGCCGGCACCGTAAGTAATCTTTAGTGCTTCCATATGTTCCCGTTTGGAGGTGGCACGTTTAGCCTTGCGTCGGTTCTTGATTGTTGGGGAGGATTTTTCGATAAATTACCGTTTGCTTTTATGATAATTATTCCAATGCCTCTTTAATTTGCCGATTTAATTCTTTTGCTTGCGACATGATTATTTTATGTGCGTTTTTGGGAAGTTCCCGAATTGAAAATTTTTTAATTTAATTTTCTTGCTGTCGATTATTTTATATTGAATTTTTGCCGTTTAAATATGACTCCGTTTTCTGATTATTTTGCTATAGTATTTGGAAACCTCACATTATATTTTATTTTAATCACTGTATTTTAGCGCATTTATGATACTAATTTCCCAATGTTTAACTGCATTTATAAATTATGACTGTTTATTTTTACCTGTATCTAACTGTCCTGTAACCATCAATTTTTCTCGTGAACAATTGTTGTGCTCGGCATATTTAGCTAATTAATGTATGTAAAAACTCATTTATCTCTCTTTTTACATGTTTATATTCATAAGTTGTCGTAGATTTAAGTGCATGATTTTAATGCGTTATTTTTAGTTGTTCTTATAATCGGTGGAGATTTCTTAGAATCCACTGAATTATTGGTTTTATTATTATTTTAGTTGTTTTAATGATTTAATTAATATATAAAAGCCCAATCGCAATTTATTTAAATTATTAAGTAATTATTCGATTTCGTAGTTAGTAGTTTTTTTTTGGTTATTTATCATGCTCGCAATATTAATATTGTTTAGAAGGTATCGCACTTAATTAAGGATTTACCGAATTAATTTTTTATCTTTTTGCATGCTGATTTTTCTAGGATTAAATATTAATTAAAATTGTGGGTTATGTTCATAGGTTTTAAGAGTTTTAGTAGTGGAATATAATTGCGTAACGCTTTTTATTTTTCTGTTCATTATTTACACATTTACTCGATTATTTTTCTGACATGCTTATAATGCCTTCTTTTAATATACGTATAAAAATGTTATAAATGTTTAATTATTACCTCTTCCCCTACACGCAGTTTAGCTCTTCCATTTCCAAGGAAATGGGCCTACACCCAAATAAATAATTTTGTTAGTGTTCAAAAGCTCGGCCGCGGTCAAAACTATTTGGGCACGACAGTACGCATTGTTCATAGATTTCAAAGCGGCGTTTGATAACGTGAATAGAGAGGAAATGTGGAAGTAATTGAGGAGAAAGGGAGTAGATGCGTACCTGGTAACGAAAATGGAAGAAATATATGAAGAACCAATAAGTAAGGTGAGAGTGAATGGAATATAGACCGAGAGTTTTTATACAAATAGAGGAGTGAGACAGGAATGCCCACTCAGTCCCGCATTGTTAGCAGCTTATCTAGGAGATATAGTTGAAATGTTCAGTTTTCTGAACTGTCCTTTTGCACAGACAGGACGGGTGGTAGTGGGCAGAGAGAAAGTGTGGTCGTTGGCGTACGCAGGTAATTTGGTAATTGTGGCAAAGAAAAGAGAAGAAATGAAAACAATGATTAAAAGTTTCGAGAAGTACGTACAAAAAAAGGAATTGGAAGTGAATGTAGAAAAAACAAAAATGGTGATGTTTGGGAAGAAAGTAAGAAAGGAGAAGGAAGGAGATTGAACAGGTGAAAGAATTCCAGTACTTAGGATATACATTAAAGAGCAATAATTCAGATAAAGCCCATATACAAGAAATGGTCCGAAAGGCGAACAAAGTGATAGGAATAGTATGGGGAATAGGAGAGAGAAAATTTGGACATGATTATAAGAAAGGAATGATGATGTTTGATAGTTTGATTAAAAGTGTATTTATGTACGGAACTGAGATCTGAGGATGCAGGGAATATGAAGAAATAGAGAGTGCAAGAAAAATACTTAAAATGGGCACTGGGATTGGAAAAGTATACGCCGGGGTATATAGTGAGAGAAGAAACAAAAAGGGAGAAAATGAGAGTGGAAGCGGGTAAAAGGGCGGTTGGATTTGTTGAGAAGTTTAGTGAGAGAGGCGATTGTAAAATATTGGAAGAATGTTGGAAAGAAATAAGAAAGGAAGGGGGGAAACATGTTTGGAACGAAAGAGACAAGTATTATGAAGGAAAGGGATATGCATGTGAACAAATAGGGAGAATGAGAGAAATGGGAAGGAGTATGAAAGAAGAACTGAGTGTAAGAAATAAGTATATAGATAAGCAAGAACGCAGATCGAGAATATCCGTGTCTAGATATAATGCAGAGTATAGAAAAATAGTAAAGGACGAAGTACCAAAGTACACACACACACACACAGAGAGAGAGAGTATAAAGGAGAAAAGAATGATGGCCAGATTTAGGTATGGAAATGAGGAGAAAGAGAATAGTTTTCGGATGGATGAAACTGACAGAAGGTGTAGGATATGTTGGAGAGAGTGAGAAACAATAGAGCATATGCTGGAAGGATGTAAAGGATTGAGAGAATCGGAGGAAAGTAGGGAAGAAGTGCTAAACGAGGATGGAAGAGGACTGGAATGAATGAAAGAAGTACGGAAGATAAGGGAACTCAGGCAAAAGGTGTGGGCAAGCAGAAAGAATAGAACAATTACTATTATATAAAACTCGTACATTTATTTTAGACATTAGGTAGTCCATTCGGGTTATCGAAAATACGAAACTCAGCATTACTATAACTTATTTTTCAAACACCATCACTCCCAGTGGAAATGCCTAGTCAGTGAGGCATATACAAAATACTTGGCTAATATTGACGCACCAGTTTTTAGTGATCCAAAAAATTTACATGAAGTGTAATAACAGACAACTTTCTTCTTCATCGAATATTGTAAATGCATTTACAATAGTTTAACGGCGTGTTTATCAAATCTGGTCCAGCAGACTTTTATCACTTATCCCTAAAGCCGAATTTCGGTGTCCAAATTGAAACGCCGTATATTACAATGGATAACGTTTTAACTAGGGGCATGGATGGTGTTTCATGTTTCTTAATTAAAGATTATGCACAAGCGGTAGCACAACCTCTGTGTAATTTATTTCCGCTTTAAGAAAACGAGTGTATGTTTGCCCCATTTTGAAAAAAGGAAGACAGACAATTACAGAGGAATCTCCAGTGGTAGGAAGTAGTTCAATTGAAGTAATTCATTGCTGTAATTCAATTACTTTTGAAGCAACGAGTAATTGTAATGAATTACTTCTAAAAAGTAATTGCTCCAATCACTGGTTACAAGTTATTTGAATTTTTAAGCGACACAACTCAAGGTTGGAAAAGCGCCCCTAAATCACACACAATATGGAGAAGAAAAAGAAAAAGCAAAGACAAAAGAAATCATCATTAAAGAAACTAAATGCAAATACTTAAGTTATTACGGTGATGTAGGGACAAATTTAAATATGAACTGCTGAAACAGAAAACAAACGCTATGTCAGAAGTCCTAACAATAGATCACAGCTACGGGATCGATGGCTCAGATCTAGATCTGATCGAGTTTTCCTCAGTTTTCAGCGTTACGTTCTGTTGCGAGATTCACGAACTGCAACCTGAAAAGCTTGTTACATAACTGACTGCACCATCCACTAGCCTGGCGTACTGCCGAATCACCAACCCGCTCATTCTACGAGGAAATAAGTATTCCAACGAAATTCACAAAAGAAAAGTAAGTACATAATAAAACATTCAGTACTTTAGTTATAACGTGATAAACAAAAGATTAAAGCCCGAATAAGTGAATTTCCTGGCAGCATGTTTTTTTTAGCGCGAAATTTTAATTCAAACGGGGACACCAGAAGGGACACCAGAATTCCTTGAGGATGCTCCTTGCTATTTATTAATAAATTTAAAGAGATATTGATTAAAATTTTTAATTTGAAAAAAAAAATGTTAGTTATCATTAACAATTTGGGTTCTGGGACCTCTGGGAATAGGTACTAAAATCGTGTATATTTCTTGTTTTTATGAATTCGAAATAAACTGATAAATAGTAATCTTTGTTTTTTTCTATTCATCTGTGAAGTGGTTATTTTATCGCTTTATGATCCGAGACCCACGGTTTCATAAGGTGGCTTAGTTGGTTATTACTATTTAACTTTAAGATTAATCGCTTTTAGAAATCACTTTTTCAAATATTTTCGATCCAATAGCTAAAATAAATATTGACCTATAACTTTATGACTTTAAAAATGTGTTAAAAAGTGTAGATTTTTTATCATGTAAGATATAAATTTAATAACTTGGAACATGTTTCATCATTTGAATAGACACCAACGTCAATATTCGTCAGTTTTTTCGATATGCTCACTGGATCAGGTTAATTTGTTAATAAAAAATACTACTTCCCATCTAAAATCTTACTGAAATAAATACACTCAGTTTTTTTTTAAATCACTCTAGCGTAGATAATATACATTATCTCATGAAGTTCTCATTTCGAATTAAAAATTTTCAAACCAGGAAATTTTAGTCCTTGTCCATTTTATTATAGGTATATATCAAAATGTTTATGGGATTATGGAAACCCGCAAAGAGGAAGCGCAGAAGCATAATACCCCTAGCTGCGTGCAATACGTTTCCATACCTAAAATACTATAAGGAGCGAAGGCAGTTTTTACCTGCGTACAGTGTATCAGACGAAGACAGAAACCGAAACATACCAGATGTTGTAATTGGTACAGTTTGACAACTTTAATTTATAATACTTTAATTTGCACAGTTTAAATTTGAAAATACTTGTTAGGTACTCAACATTTTTCTATTTCCTATAGTTTTATATGTACATTGATGTCTTTGAGTTCTTATATGTCAGTTTTTTAAATAATTTTGAATGTTGCTTTAATAACGCTTATGAAAATGGTTGCATAAACACTCCTTGAACAACAAGTTTTTGAGTAGGCAGTAGATATTATACAAATGTTTTTTTTGTGATTGTTTATTTAGATAAACAAAAAGTGTTAAAACTAGCACTAAAAATATCAACAAAGTAACAAATAAATAAATCGACATTGCAATAATGGTGATATTCTTCCAGACAAATTGCAGGTCCACTGCCTTCTCACTTTAAATATGGCAACGTAGCACAAAAAGCAGATCCAACAAATATAACTAATCACCGACTATAACAAAATTATAAGACCGTTTATCAAAAGTAATGTCTAATCATCATAAGAATATATATGTAAATCATATAAGTAACCAGTTTAGGATTTCCGCTCAGTTCATGATCTAACTAACAACTATTTGATACACATGCAAACTTGGATCACTATCTTTCCTCCATTACATCTTAAATTTTTCTCTTTTGGCCTTTATACGTTTTCCTGAGTTGCTCTTCCGCATCAAAAAATGGCTGCATCTGTGAAATTTCCTTCTGCGTTTCTTTCATAATTTCGTCGAAGGAAGCTAAGTCTCCACCATATTCTTCAGGAAGATATGACGCTGGGACGAAGTTTTTATGGAAATTTTCCATATTTGTCCCAGGGGGGTGTGTATGGAGCTGTAATCACAAAATTGAAAAGGTGAGCCAACCTATGCTATTAAGGGTATTCTTACAAGATCAAGTAATTCGCTTTTGATAAAAATCTTGAAAAGATTAAGAGTCTTGTCGAAGACGTAGTTGCTGTTGAGGATGTGGATTGTGTGGAGTTTGATTGGCAGTGCCTCTTGTATGTAGCGCAAATATGAAATGATAGCACCCATTTTGAGGCACGTGAGGTGCATGAAACCAACCTAAAATGGTCATCTATGTTAAAAAATCTGTTATTTTATTTATGAATTACCCCTTTTAAATCAATAATTACGACTATTTCCTTCACTGGGTTTTTTATCTGAATCATCAGTGATGGTATAAGACTTAATTTTATTCCGGCTATTATGTTACAACGCCTGTAGTTTGTGTCCAGTAACCTAGCACAAACTACTACTCTATTGTCTTTCATTCTTTTAGGAATAACACACAGACCTCTGGAAAGAAGACAGTTTTTTTTTTGATAATTTTAACCTTCAGGAATACTTACATGACGTCCATAATACTTTTTAATTCTTCGCCACTCACGTCATAGTTATCAAAAATCTGTGGAACTTCATTTTTGATTCGGAAATAGGCTTCAATTGCTTTTTTTGTTACATCGATATCGTTTTCACACGATATGAGGAACAGGATGATAAATTCGTCTTGTATCTTTGGTAGCGTGGTTTCTTTCAGCCAGTTCTTGATGGTGTCGAGTGCCTCTTGAGTTGTTCGTTTTTCAGAAATTACAGTTTCAGCTTTGAACTGAAATGGGAGCGCCATGTTGCTGGAAAATATTTATCAATTAATTATTTGCAAGTATAATTTTCTTTTTGTTCACAGAACCAGCTTCTTCTAACAATTTGTAAAATTTGTTTCGTTTTTTGAGCAAACAGAACAACTTATTTTTTTGAAATAGAGACAAGTAGTTTTTACCGACTTCAAGGATCCATGACATACAAATCTGGTTTGTTTTTAAAATTGTACGAGAATGTCAAAACCTAGTAACACATATTTCTCATGTTTTAGTAAACCTACGTTTAGTGTTTGTTTTAGTGATCCAAAATTACTAGCACACATTATTACTATTTCTATTTTCATTTGAAACGTACATTTTACAAAAATAAAATAAAATAAAATAATATAATTAAATTCCTTAACCTTATTAAGTTTTTGTTTAATATCTTTAACGCTGCCAAAATTAATATCACACAAACGAGATATATATGATATACACTGTGAACTTTACCATTTTGAACAAGTTTTAAGTTTTTTGTTGTGAAAATAGGACTACGGTATTAAGAAAATCAAAGCAAATTGGAAGCCCCGCCCCACCCGCCCTATCTTAATTGCAAAATCCTTATTTTTGTACAAGAAATTACCAGTGAAACTAGTTCTTAAGTAACTGTGTTGTACAAGGAAACTATATGTGTTAAGTAAAAAAGAAAGTCAAAGATTAAGCCCCACCTAGACCCGCCCAGATCTAAATTATGATGAATATTTTATTCGTTTTCAGACCGAGGCGAGGGGAGGAGCATAATTGCAGAATCCATATTTCCATACAAAAATTGACCATTTTGAACAAGTTTTTGCTTTGTTTTTCCTAATATTCGTAGTCTTCTTTTCATAACAAAAAACTTAAAACTTGTTCAAATTGGATATGGATTTTTCATATACGCTCCGCCCCTCGGTCTGACAACGAATGAAAAAATCATCAGAATTGAGGTGAGGGTGGGTGGGCGGGCCTTATATTTTGCCTTCTTTTTTAACATACGTAGTATTCTTTTCCGAAAAGGAAACCGAAATCATGTTTAAAATGGTATAATCGTAAATTTTTTTAGCAATTCGACTTATTTTTTGGCTCATTTAGTTAGCTTGCGATTTTTTCGAATAACAATCACTTTTTAGTGATACGTAATTTCAATACTCCTAATTATGCAAGCAGCTATAGTGACAGTTTTTGTGAGACATTATCAATTGTAACAATCATCTTCTGGACTTAGCCAAAGATTAAGCCCCACCTATACCCGCCCCGATCTAAATTGTGATGAATATTTCATTAGTTTTCAAGTCGAGGGGAGGAGCATAATGACAGAATTCATATTTTCCTACAAAAATTTACCATTTTGAACAAGTTTTTGCTTTGTTTTTACTAATATTCGTAGTTTTTTGTTGTGAAAAGAAGACTACGATATTAAGAAAATCAAAGCAAAATATATGCCTTAATATACGTACTCATCTGTTTTAAATTTTTGTTGTGAAAAAATGGGTACGTATATTAAGAAAAAAAACAGGCAAAATATAAGCCCCGCCCACCCACCCTACCTCAATTGTGATGATTTTTTTTATTCGTCGTGAGCCAAGAGGGCGGAGCTTAATTGCAAAATCCTTATTTCTCTACAAGAAATTACCCTGTAAGACATATTTCTTAGCAACGTATTTTTCAAAAAATACTATATATATTAAAAATTAAATGGGTGGGGCTTATCTTTTGACTTTTTTTTTACTTAATACATATAGTTTGCTTTAAACAACACGATTACTCAAGAACATATTTCACATAGCAATTTCTCGTAAGAAAACAAGGATTTTACACTTAATCTTCGCCCCAAGAATTACGACGGGTAAAAAAAATCATGACGATGAGATAGGGCGGGTGGTCAGGGCTTATATTATGTCTTAGTATACGTAGTCATCTGTTTTAAATTTTTATCGTGAAAAGATGACTACATATATAAAGAAAAAAATTGGTCTAAAGAGTTTAGACAGTACTTCCCTCGCTGTCGGAAACTTGACGACTGCATGCCTATTGTGTTTTTTTTCTCATTACATTTTTGTAGTGGGAATTTAAAAAAAAATTGCGATGACGTCATCAACATTTTTGCAAGGACACGTATATCAGTTGGGATAGATGTAGTGTAATACTAAGAATAAAATTATTATATTCTCAAATTTTCGGGAACATGAATTGGGTCGTTTTGAATATTGATTTGTAATAATCAATAAAATAACGAAACAATTTACTCACGTATACGTATCAGAGGCAACTGAAAATGTGTATGTATAAACATTCTTAATTTAAGATGACAGGCGTAACAGCATACGTGAGAGTCAAACAGAGAAACTATAAACAAAACGACCATCGGTTTTATTGCGTCGACTTCCGCTTATTATATAAAACATTGGGTTTTATTTTAATTCTTGACGGTGAAATTCACAATTGGTTGATTATAAACATGTCTATTTCACATTCGCGGAACCAAGTGAACGCATAAAACAAATGCAGGTCTGTAATGTTAAAGTCGATGTAAATAAGCGTGCTACCCTTATGTTTCAACCGAGTTTTTCCTTTAACAAATTTTGTGTCTACCAAATTGGGTTGGTTCGGGTGTAATACTAATAATAAGTGTTGCCTAATTTAATCAATAAAATAAATTGACTTCATTAATTTTTTTGAACCACCTCTTAAGAAAATCTAAAAAATATGAATGGAATGATAAATCACAAGTACAAACTCATCATATTTTTTGCATTTTAGATAGGATTTATTCAGCAAAATTTAAGGTTGACGTCATAAATTTTTTAGGAGGGATGAACAAATACATTTTGAACAAAAGTTTACCATGCTTATAATAACTTTAAAATATTCCCAAGATTTCAAAGCATTCGGTTTTGTAATTCCTGATTAAATCGATAAAATAAATTCACGCCTTCATTAATTTTTTTGAGTCACCCTGCATATGCAAATCCAAAAATATGAATGGAATGATAAATCACAAGTACATACTCATCATATTTTGTACATTTTAGATACGATTTATTCGGCAAACTTTTGAGCTGACGTCATCAGTTTTTTGTAGAAGATAACCAAATATATTTTGACTAAAAATTTATTATGCTTTTTATAACCTTACAACATCTGCAAGATTTCAAAGCATTCGGTTTTGTAGTTCCTGATTAAATCAATAAAATAAATTTACGCATTCATTAATTTTTTTGAGTCACCCTGTATATGCAAATCGAAAAAATTTGAATGGAATGATAAATCACAAGAAAAGACTCACCATATTTTGTACATTTTAGATAGGATTTTTTCAGCAAAATTTTGTGGTGACATCATAAATTTTTTAGGGGGGACGACCAAATACGTTTTGATCAAAAATTTACATGCTTATGATAGTTTTAAAATATCTTCAAGATTTCGAAGCATTCGGTTTTGTAGTTCCTGAGTAAATCAGTAAAATAAATTTACGCTTTCATTTATTTTCTTGAATCACCCTGTATATGCAAATCCAAAAAATATGAATGGGGTGATAGATCACAAGTACAGACTGATCATATTTTGTACATTTTAGATATGATTTATTCGGCAAACTTTCGAGCTGACGTCATCAAGTTTTTGGAGGGGATAAGCAAATATATTTTGACTAAACATTTATTATGCTCTTTATGACCTTAAAACACCTGCAAGATTTCAGAGCATTCGGTTTTGTAGTTCCTGATTAAATCAATAAAATATATTTACGCATTCCTTAATTTTTTTGAGTCACCCTGTATATGCAAATCCAAAAAATATGAATGGAGTGATAGATCACAAGTACAGACTCATCATATTTTGTACATTTTAGATATGATTTATTCCACAAACTTTTGAGCTGACGTCATCAAGTTTTTGGGGGGGATAAGCAAATATTTTTTGATTAAAGATTTATGATGCTCTTTATAGCCTTAAAACATCTCCAACATTTCAAAGCATTCTGGTTAGCAGATTAAAAATTAAATTTCAAAATATTGTTTTATAATTTTGATTTTTTTTCCAAAAATCTGGACGTTTCGGGTGAAAAGTCGATTCAGAGTTGTAAACTACATGTGTAGGACTATGTTATTTTATACAATTGAAAACCCATTTACTATGTACAATTTTGAAGTGACGTCATCGCATTAGTGGTGGGGATGATTAGACAAATTTTGGTTAGCGTTTTACCATCTACATGATATTCTTAATATAAGTACAAAATTTCACAACAGTCGGTCGAGTACTTTCGGAGATTATCTGTCTAATAAAAATCCGGGACGGCAGACGGACAGACGGACAGACGGACAGACGGACAGACGGACAGACAGACGGAAATGGGAGACCTATTTCTTCGTCTTCTAGGGGTCATGAAAGATCGAGAAAACGTAAAAGTAGAGAGTCGGCCGACGGACTCGATTACAATACTTCCTTTGCTTACGATCGGGAAGTAAAAAGGACAAAATATAAGCCCCGCCCACCCACCCTACCTCAATTGTGATGATTTTTTTTATTCGTCGTGAGCCAAGAGGGCGGAGCTTAATTGCAAAATCCTTATTTCTTTACAAGAAATTACCATGTAAGACATATTTTTTAGCAACGTGTTTTTCAAAAAATACTATATATATTAAAAATTAAATGAGTGGGATTTATCTTTTGCCTTTCTTTTTTACTTAATTCATATAGTTTGCTTTAAACAACACGATTACTCAAGAACATATTTCACATAGCAATTTCTCGTAGGAAAACAAGGATTTTACACTTAAGCTTCGCCCCAAGAAGTACGACGGGTAAAAAAAAAGATCACTATTGAGATAGGGTGGGTGGGTGGGGCTTATATTATGCCTTAGTAATACGTAGTCATCTGTTTTAAATTTTTGTTGTGAAAAGATGACTACATATATTAAGAAAAAAAGGGCAAAATATAAGCCCCGCCCACCCATCCTACCTCAATTGTGATGATTTTTTTTGTTCATCGTGAGCCAAGAGGGCGGAGCTTAATTGCAAAATCCTTACTTCTCTACAAGAAATTACCATGTAACACATAATTTTTAGCAACGTGTTTTTCATAAATACAATATATATTAAAAATTAAATGGGTGGGGCTTATCTTTTGACTTTCTTTTTTACTTAATACATGTAGTTTGCTTTAAACAACACGATTACTCAAGAACATATTTGACATAGCAATTTCTCGTAGGAAAACAAGGATTTTACACTTAAGCTTCGCCCCAAGAATTACGACGGGTAAAAAAAATCATCACGATTGAGATAGGGCGGGTGGGCGGGGCTTATATTATGCCTTAGTATACGTAGTCATCTGTTTTAAATTTTTGTCGTGAAAAGATGACTACATATATTAAAAAAAAAGGGCAAAATATAAGCCCCGCCCACCCACCCTACCTCAAATGTGATGATTTTTTTATTCGTCGTGAGCCAAGAGGGCGGAGCTTAATTGCAAAATCCTTATTTCTCTACAAGAAATTACCATGTAAGACATGTTTTTGAGCATCGTGTTGTTCAAAAAATACTATGTATATTAAAAATTAAAGCCACATTGAGATTGAGACGGATGGGTGGGGCTTATCTTTTGCCTTTCTTTTTTACTTAACACATATAGTTTGCTTTAAACAACACGATTACTCACGAACATATTTCACATAGCAATTTCATGTAGGAAAATAAAAATTTTACACTTAAGCTTCGCTCCAAGAATTACGACGGGTAAAAAAAAATCATCACGATTGAGATAGGGTGGGTGGGCGGGGCTTATATTATACTTTAGTATATATAGTCATCTGTTTTAAATTTTTGTTGTGAAAAGATGACTACATATACCAAGAAAAAAAGGGCAAAATATAAGCCTCGCCCACCCACCCTACCTCAATTGTGAGGATTTTTTTATTCGTCGTGAGCCAAGAGGGCGGAGCTTAATTGCAAAATCCTTATTTGTATACAAGAAATTACCATGTAAAACATGTTTTTGAACATCGTGTTGTTCAAAAAATACTATGTATATTAAAAATTAAGGCCACACTGAGATCGAGATAGATGGAGGGGCTTATCTTTTGCCTTTCTTTTTTACTTAATACATATAGTTTGCTTTAAACAATACGATTACTCACGAGGAATTTTTCGTAGGAAAACAAGGATTTTACACTTAAGCTTCACCCCAAGAATTACAACGGGTAAAAAAAATCATCACGATTGAGATAGGGTGGGTGGGCGGGGCTTACATTATGCCTTAGTATACGTAGTCATCTGTTTTAAATTTTTGTTGTGAAAAGATGACTACACATATTAAGAAAAAAAAGGGCAAAATATAAGCCCCGCCCACCCACCCTACCTCAATTGTGATGATTTTTGTTATTCGTCGTGAGCCAAGAGGGCGGAGCTTAATTACAAAATGCTTATTTCTCTACAAGAAATTACCATGAAAGACATATTTTATAGCGGCGTGTTTTTCAAAAAATACTATATGTATTAAAAAGTACAGTGGCGCGAATAAAGTTTGGATAAAGGGTAAATTTACTTTGCAACTTTTGATAATACAACACAAGTTTTTTCATTCCTTATGCTCTCGGGAACCCCTCCATTTTGTTTGTCGGTGCATTTCGCAAACACCAAATTTGTGTATTACCCAAATTTTTATCAAGTAGGCTTTATATGGCGCATTAATTCTTGGAATAGAGTAGCAGATTTTGCAAGTTCTATGAATGCAGCCGATTTTGTTACGTAAGAGTTCAAATAATAAGGTATTATTTTGCATTAACGTGCGTGTTCCTAGAAGGAATCCAGTTAACAGACATGGACTCCATCTAATTAAAGAGTATTTATAAAACATTTCGTGATGGTTGCAAAAGGTCGGATTTGCGTCAAAACTTCATACGATGATTTTCGGGTCCATTGTGTGCGGATTTGTGAGATTATAACAGTCAACGTTATTATAAATATTTATTTCATTTTTAACGTACATAATTTTCTGCATTTTTGCATTCTTTTTATGAAATAGACACGTAAGGAATTTCCATTCTCGATCGACTGATTGGGTTCTACGTGTTTGTATGCGTTTGTTGGGAGTTTTGGTGGAAACATTTCTCTCATAAAAATTTCATTTTGGCACACACATTTACAATTTAAAAACTATGAGAGAGAATGTAAAGTATGGACAAGAAAAAACTGGTATTTCCAAGTGCGTGGCTTAGAATTTGCATCAAGTGGAATAATGTTCGAGTGGAGTCAACTAAATTTTTTTAATTTTTGAAATAATTCAGCGGTTTGTAATAAATCTAAGTGTCAAGTCGGTGCTTTTCTGGTCGTCATAATTTGATTTCGGTAATCAGGAATACGAGTAAGTACATAGAAAAATTACACACTTTGACTTGCTTAATGTTTCTAAAATTTTTTACAAAAAAAATGAGCCGCCCTGTCCGTTTTCTAAGGACACGTGCACTCCAGACCAAATATAAACAAGTATGCTTTCCTAACATAATGCGTTCGAATCATAGATAGTGGCGCAGTATAGGTGATTAAAGTATGAAGTGTTAATGAGTTCATAAAAACAAGCAGTTACACATTGTATCATTAAAAAAAGGTTGGTTGTTGTAGATAAACGCAGACAAATTTCCAGGTTATAAAAAACATGTTTAATAAATATTTATATATTCAATAATTTTCTGGAAGGACGAATGAATAAATAAATAAATAACTTCATTATGTGGTTGTTCAGACGCAACTTTTTCTTCAAAGACGGAATATCAGTTATAAAACACTGCAACAGAGTTGCCTCAAATATATTTGTCGACTATACAACTAAACTAAAATTTAAATTTAAATTGTGACCTCCATTGAGATCTATGAAATGCAAAGTTTGACTGCAATAAGTTCGAAATAGGGAAGGTAGATATAAAAATTTATCTCAAAATTTAAAAGATTTTGAAATTATGCCAAAAATTTTTTGAATTAAAAAAATGCAAATAACTCTCAAAGGTCATTAACCGACTTATCTTTAGATGGTACAAACCTGTTTATTTACGATTCAAGTGCAATAACATTTTTAGGAGTGACAATATATTATAGGTTCTTAGTAAGAAAAAATGAGGAAATCTTAAACAACTAAGTCGGACAATAAAAGTCACATTGGGCAACCAGTGATCACCTAAAAATGAATGATAATTACCTGTCTAAAATAACGATCTTTTAATCGCAGGGACCTCAACCACTTACAAATCTCAGCGAGTAATTTTTCTCCCTTTTTGATATTTTAATTAACGGTATGAAAATTTTCAAGGTTACTTACTATGTATTTCTTCGGTAGAGACTTTTCACGCACGCAAAACACAGTCATTTAACAAATTTACCACTGTTTCATATTTTGCTTCAAATACAAATTTCGTATTTTCATTTACAGTTAGTTCTTAAAAAGACACAAATAATATTGACACTATTTCCGTAATAAGTGATTTATAATATAAATAACTTCAATAAGTTTGTTCTGGAAGGATCACGAATTTATAAAACTGATAAAAAAATCACAACAATTGTAAGGTACTTCACGTTATGACTAACTCAGTGTTCGTCTACAGTTTATTAAACAGTACTTTTCTTGTTGCTTACATGTTAGTGGTACCGGTTTCCGAACCAAATTCTTTCTTTACACCGCACCGATTCAAGGCACTCACTGTCGAGTTCTTTGCAGCGGTACCTCAAAACTCTGGACGACCGATACCTTGAAAGAAGTATCAGTAGAGTTTAAAAAAGTCATCTGCATGCGAATCATGTTGACATGCATTCAACGTGCAGAGAATATTTAGTATTTTAATTAAACATTTAAAGCGTAATTACTTAATTTAATTACTCTGACAGTGACTGACAAATTTCAATTTTATTTATGAATGACTTGGTTGTTGGGGTTGTCGTGAAATCTTTTCTAACCGCTTTTAAGACTATTTTAAGTCAAAACTATTAAAAAGTATAATAAATGAAGCAAATTCTACCAGTACATTAACATTTTTGAGAATTTTTTTAATAAAAAATTTTTGTTTTACGGTTAAAGAAAATGTCCCGTTTCCGTCAATCTGTTCACTAGAAACGTATCTGTTTGAAACTTTTTACGTAAACGTCGTGATATGTTTATTTTTAGTGTGTTGCTTGATTTGGAAGTCATAGGAGATACATATTTGTTTAAATCAAATGTGTGTTTACTTTGAAGTTTTATGTCGTGTTATGACCTATGACGTACGAATCATCCTCGAAATGTTTATATGGTTTTGAGAATGATTTTGTTGTTCGTCCGCAGGCCAATGCTCTACCTTGTCTTACCTTTCCAGGTATGGTCGAATGTGGTGCTAAATTTTAAAATTATGGTTGCTGGCTATGTTCGTATTTTTTTCATAGTAAATGGACGTTGTAAAGTTATCGTAAACACGGTAAATTTTCAATCAAAATAGATCTATTTATCCCCACCAAAAAATGAATGACGTCATTACAAAATTTAGCCTAATGCCTCCTATCGAAAATGTGCAAAATGTGATGAATTGACTTATCATTGTCTACTAATTTTTAGAATCGCTTATACAGGCTATACGTGGTAAATTTTTAATCAAAATATATTACGTTAATTAATTCAGAAAAACGCGCTTGACAAAAATTCTAAAAAATATGTAGTGTCATTAAAAAAAAGTTGGACGTTGAAGCTAGAAGATAAGAGGCCCCTTCTGGCCTAAATAAAACTTATTTGTTTTTAATTTGGTTATTAGAAAAATACAATTTCTTCTTCGACTGACAGTTTGTTGACACATATGATCTCGAGGTTGTGCAAAATGCAAAATTGGCCACTTCCGGGCGTTCCACTAATTTATGACTTGCAGCCATGCAGCCACCTGCACAAAGAGCTGCCGCCTGAGTTTTGTTTGCAGTATCATTTCTCATTTTTATTTTGCTTTTTTTATTGTTTAATATAGTATACCGCACACTTTAGAATTATTACATTTGCATTCATATTTTTTCGATTTGCTTATACAGGGTGATGCAAAAAAATAAATTACTCGAAAATGTACTTCAAGAGCGAGGGAAGTTGTGTCGAAACAACTTTTAAATTTATTAAATAATGATAATATACAAATTGGTTTAGTCTGGTTTCAGTGAAGGCTATTGACTTTACGTTACCAGCAGTCAAATAAGTTATTAAAGCGTTTGTTGAGACTAGAAGGAGAAAGGAATACAAATATTACATTACGTAATCTAAAAAAACGCTTTAATTATGTGTATCATTTTTAAAATCTATAGTAAATCATAGATGAGTTATTCAGAACGTGTAAGATTACTTCAACTTGTATACACATTATAAAGACAAACCAGTAAATTTCATAACATTTTTTGTAATACTTACCAATAATCTTGAATTTCTGTCCAAATAATTTTTTTAATGAAACTAAGTTTTAAATTTTTCGGGTGTACTCAATATTAATAATGCTGTAATATTTTCCTTTAACCAGTACCTACTTCAACATACTTTGCACGTATTTTCACAAATAAATAACTAGAGCAGTTAAATCTTAAGTGAAACAACTGCACATAAACATAATATAACTAAATTGATCTGAATCATGTATAATCGATAATATCATAAAATAGATTACTGTCATTACTGATGTCATTATAAGTCATTTTAGCACATTAATTTCGAAAAAAAAGCTGCAATTGTAATGAATTATTGCCTTGTTTGAAAAAGACTTGTTCGTCACTGAATAATAGTTACCTAGAAGTTTATAAATTAGATATGTAGAATTATACAAAGAAAAATCGCTGGCTAGAAAAATGGCTAAAAGCTGTGATTAAAATACGCAATCAAAATTAGCATATTAAATGTTATTTGATATAAGTAATTCTGGTAGATTTTTTAATTTAAAAGTAGCATTCGGGTGATAAAAAGTCTTAAAATTTATTGTGTACAATCGTAACAGTAAAATTGCCGCAAATAGAACGTTGTTAGCGTTTAATGCAAATTGAATGTATGTATTGTTAGTAATAATTGAGACTTACTTATCTATAAATCCTATTAGTTAGATGCTTGTTCGGTTCAAATTCAGGTCGTACTTATATTTTTAGTTGGTACTGTCGAACGCTATTCTTATTCTTTTGTGGGAGCAACACACTAACAACTACACTGATCTGTCACATACTGGTTACCCCGGTGACCCTCTTTGCCCCAAACACCCCCCACCGTTAGTAGACGTCGTCTTCTTGGAAACTGGAATGTTTTTTAAAGTACCTATATTTTTAAATTAATATAACATATTATAATTATAATATGTATAATTTAAATTAACTAACAAAATAGATTGCTCTTGGTTCTGCAAAAATTTAACATCTTAATTCCTAGAGAAAACTCTAGACTTAATGGTTTAATGTATGTTAAAGCTATTAGAATTAATCCATTGGTCATATCACCTGTATTTATTATAAGTATATTAATACTGTATGTGATAATTTTGTAATTTTTCTTCACCAACTAACTCATATTCGTGATGATGTCATAAACAATTTGATATATAATTTAGATGGTTTATGTTGATGATATTATAATACTTGTATTAATTAACAATATTATATCAATTAGTGTTAGGTATTTCCATTGTCAATACGACTTTATTCTTGTATTTTTGTATTTCGTGTAATTGGGTGAAAATTTGTCAGAAATGAACGTTTATTAATATTATTATTAATATTTAACTTAAATATTGTCCGTATACACTGTATTCTCAAAGTTTTAATACATTCGTTTATTGATTTATTAGTTTATATCTGGCGAGTACATAATTTGTAGTCGAGTCGTCCTTGGAAAAATGACAAATGCAAAAACAAAAATAGCGGACAGATTTTAACAATATTTTTAATAAAATCAATATGATTATTACCTTCAAAGAATATAGCCCTTAATAACAAGAACTTTAATAAACAAAATGGTCTAAAGTTATTTAGGCAGAACCCCTCGCCCCTGAAGTACATTCGAACAAATAGAGGTTCTGCCAACTATAATTTTTTTTAGGTTTTCTCGAAGGACACGAGGACACCAACTTTAAATTTCCTAATGAACTTTTAACTCGTTTGGAGAACGATTTTGGGTATTTTCCCCAACTTAATCAAAGTACACGATTACGTTAATCATAAATACCTATTAACAAAACTGGAAAGCTACGGGTTTAGAGGGGATTATTAGACTTCTCTTATATAAGTAGTTATAAATTATTATTAAATATACGGAAAAAATGGCAGGTGATAGGTGAAAACCTTGCTGTTTTTTCTACCTTATTAATTCAATAATTTTAGCTTACAAATTAATTTGTTATAGATTGTGGTGTCCCGATTTGAAAAATTAAATTTCGCGCCGAGAAAGAAAATAAAGCCGCGAAACTGTATTTGAAAAACAAAAAAATTGGTCCAAGATTATTTTTGTTGAAACATCCTCTATATTTATTTTAGACTATAGTCTTCGGTAAATATTTATTTATTAATGAGTTGCTTTTGAAAAATTTAAAAAAATATTGACGATGTTAGCGACTGAACCCGGACAGGAATCTAACCTTTCATTTATAAAACATAATTAACAATAATTGTAAAGTATACTTACTTAGAATATTTCTCATTATTGCAATACTTTCCGAACGAATCCACAATAATTAACAGGTACCCAATTTATAAACAGATTAACTTTAGCAGTGATTCGTTAAGTATAAAAAAATTTTTGGGATAACCAATCAATCAGCATTACTGCGCACCGTTCTAAGATCTGACTTTCCAATTTGTGTAACTTTTTCCGCGGCCCCATTAAACTTCACTTTAATTAAGTATTTTTCCTAATTACTTTTATTTTGGGTTTTTTGTATTTGAAAGCTGACTTAGGAATTTAAACGGAAATACAAAAATTAACCCCTTAGGTGTACAGTTCCTACAGGAAGCCTCCATCAACAGCCTCCCTATTAGCAAACCTTTTTGTCTCGTGCTTGACTAAACGTAGGAAATAAGTGCTAATACCTGCGGTCAAACCTCATTTTAAAACCGTTATAACATGCAACCGTTAAATTCTGCATAAAAACGGTTTGTATGTGAAATAGTGAAACTATAAGTAATACGAAAAAGAAAGAAAGCATGCCATGCCAATAAATACGTTAAAAAATTAATAAAGATCAGTCCACACGGATGCATCTTTGGGCTTGAGTCTTATATCTATAAATAACAGTTTTGCAATCCGTTTTTACTATAATAAATAGGGAATATAGGTAGGTATATGCAGTTTGTACTAGTAGAAAGCTATCATGAGATGCCATTATTGTTTTAATGAATCACAGAAAGATATATTTATCCACTATTTCTCATTTTTAACTTTATTTATCACGTTGATAATTGATTTATTTTTGTCGAACGTTTTTAATTTTTATCATCTTCCATTTTATCAGTATCAGTTATTTTATAATTAATGATAAATTTAGTAAAATATCCGGCAACAGTTCCTGTTGAGTAACTTAACTGTACACAAATATTAATTATCGTGCTTTTAATTTGTAGCGTAAAATAAATCATAGTTCCTTATCTAGTCTATGCACCAAGTGAATAATCGAAATATTCTCTAGCGACATGTTCACATTTATCACAACACTGTTTCCATTGGATTAGAAAGGTCAAGGTGGGTATATAATTTACAATCGCTCGTGTAAAACGCGTTGTCTATTTTCCACAAGAGTCAAAGGTGATTAAGTCTCAAATTTCCTCACGTACTTTCCTCCGAGTTTTTTCATTAATTCGCGTTCCCCCAACATTTATTCAGTCGACTTTTTCACCATCACTTACGGCTACATGAAAGTTATTTGATTTCTCATCATTCCTAGGTACATCATGTGATCATTTTTCTTTCTTTTTATATTCATGTGGTCATTTTGTTGTTGCCCCATTTTTTCACATTCTTGATTAAAACTTAATTTATCACGCAAATCTGAGTGTTTTGTTAATATGTGGAACAAATTTAAATACGCCAAAATTATCCTAAATTCGATAAATAAAACACAATCGTATTTTTTAAATTATAATATTGATAAAACGTCACACAAACAAATAAAATTCATTGACCATTTAAGTACCATCAGTCGTACTGTAGATGTACTCTTCGCCACCCCCTCTCCTTGGATCAAAGGTACCAGAGAAAGTACCACCCTCTCTAGAAATTGAGGTTACGGCATTAAAATGATCAGGGGGTGCCACTATGGATACATTATGTCCAATCATGGTAAGAGCGTCCAGGAAATCCTATTAAACAAAACTTACACTTCTAACCGTTCTCTGTGCACGACATACCTGTGAGTACCCTTCTTCCACCAGTAGCTGCATTGGAAACAACTGATGGTGCAACCTCTTATCCTCAACAGCATCTTTAATCGTATAATTAAACCACAAATTCTTAATCATAACCTAAAACGAAAAATTACACCTCCACCCACCAAAAAAGAAAGTCGTACCAACGCCACAGACGTGATAATCTTTGTTCCTCCAGATGCACCAACCACCAGTCTAACATCCCCACTATCATCCACGACAATGGAGGGATTCATCGACGACATGGGCCTCTTCCCCGGTACTATATAGTTGCTCGGAGACGGCGGTACCCCATAGACATTATCAAACCCCGCCGACGAAAAATCATCCATCTGGTCATTCAAAATAATCCCGGTACTCTCAGAGGCAATCCCAGCCCCAAAACTACCAAACTTAACCACAAACCAAACAAATTTTCGTACTTACCTATAGTTGATGGTACTCGTCACGGACACCGCGTCTCCGTTGGGCGCCAGCACACACATATTGGCAGTACCGTGGTCCAAAGGCTGCGTCACGTTAGCCCCATAATAACCCGGATCTTCAAACGTTTGATTGTCAAAAATGAGGGCACGTAGTTCTTGGGCGAAGCTTGTCGATTTTAGTTGGTTGACTATCTAGAAGTACGACCTAGAGCGGTTCGGTTTGAATGGTACTAACCTCAGTGACGTCGACGAAGTCGGGATCGCCGAGTTCTGTGCGTTTGGCGAAGCCGAATTTGAAGCTCTCGATGACGCGCTGCCAGTTGGTGACTGAGGTGGGTTCGGAGGGGTCGAGGAAGTCGTTGAGGATGTTCATGATGAGGCCGAGGATTAGACCGGAGCCTGGGAGGGGGGCTGCGTGGAGGGTTTGGTTGTAGGGGAGTTGGAATGGGATGGGGGTTAACCACAAAGGGGTGTAGTTGTTGAGGTCTTGCTCAGTGATGATGCCACCTTTAGCCTGGATGTCTTTGACGAAGTCTGACGTTAGAGCACCGTTGTAAAGAACGTCGGCACCGTAATCGGCTATGAGTTGCAAGGTTTTGGCCAGGCGAGGTCGCGTGATTTTTTCGGATTCGGCATACGTTTGGTTTGTTGTTGGATTGATGAAAATCTCCCTGAAAGGTGAAACAAGGTTGTAAGGGATAAGTTTGAAGATACGATATACGTACCGAAGGATATTGTCTTTCATTATGACCTCCTTGTTAGCTTCACTAACCTCCGCCACGTATTTCGTCACGGGGATTCCCTCATTACACAAATCTATCGTTGGTTGTATCAAATCCTTCCAAGCTACACCCCCTCCGTACTTATTGTAAGCTTCCCAATATCCCCTCAACTCTCCTGGTACTGCCACCGCCAATCCCCCTCTAATCGCAGAATCCTCGTCACTCCCAAACATCGTTTCGTTGGCTTTTTCCGGAGCTGTTTCTCTAGCAACCAAAAAGTGGCTCTTACCTCCATCTTTTATGTATATGTTCATGAGAAAACCGCCACCAAGACCCATGCAGTCGGGTACCGAAACACCCTCGCAGAAAAGTGAAGCGATTGCTGCATCCACCGCAGTACCATTTTTCTTCAGAATGGAAGTACCGATCTGGGCACAAGCGGGACCGTTGGTTACTACAACCCCAGTGGGGATTTCTTCAGGACGGGTGGTGACTAGAAGAGTTGAGGCGAAAAATAGGGTTTCAAGCAACCTAAAACCTCGTTAAGAAAGTTTGGAACTTTTTGGTTGAAAGGGTTTACCTCATCTTGTTAAAGCAACACTATGAAAAATAGTGAGTGAAGTAAGTGAAAGTGCAACTAATGTTTAATTTTTTTTTTTGTGATAAGATTAAATCAAACAATTCACTTTTTTTTGCAAGACTTGTACATCTTCATTTTGCACATTTTGAGTTTGATAAGATAACAATGTGTGAATTTTTTGTAATTTTTCATAGAAGCAGATGACGTATATCTGTTACATTTTTTACTACACCACAAAATAAACAGCAACTCTCACACACTAGTTCTGAAAAGAACCTTTGGCGGGTCGACCGAGGGGGGACTCTTGGAGCTCGATAGGTATAGGACACACAATAAACATCGATCCAATGTTAACTACATACATAGAACAAGACTTGAAAGACGAAGAAAAACGAAAGAGAACGGAAGAAGTTAACAGAAATGTATTCAAGAGAAGTAAGAAAAGTCAAAATATGATGAGAGAGATATATTAAATGAAGTTCAAAAGCTCAGAAAAGTAAAACCAAGAAAACAAGGGAGAAATTAAAGCAGAGATAAAATTATTAGAAGAAGAGAACGAAGATAACAAATTACATAGAAAGAAACAAAACAAAAAATAACCCACTGAGGGTTGATAACAAAGGACGAGACACAACAAAAATTAATACAGAAGATACAGACACTCTTCGTAGAGGAACTTCAAAGCGACAGGTTTACATTTATCACAACGAATGTCTTTCTAAAGGAAAACAAAAGTTAATGTAGGTATATAATTTACAATCACTCGTGTAAAACCAGTTATCTATTCTCCACGAGAGTCAAATTTGTCTCAATTTTACAAATTCATAATAATAGTAATAATAATAAAACTTGCCATGTTTTATCACTCATATAATCATTGTTGAATGACATGCTTATCTCTCATATCTCAACGTTCACTATAACCTTGCCAAATGATACCGCTAATTCCGCATTATTGTTTCAGCAATGACCGAACTATGAAGTACCAACTTACCCGAAAGTACTGTTTAAATTACCGCGTCATAATAGCACTTTTCGTAAGGTTTATATTTCAATATCAAATTCTCTAATTGGACACGGGTGAAAACTTTATTCAGCAATAACATAATAAGAAAATTTTAGGTTTGGTTTTAGACTTTATTCGATCATCTGTGTTTGACCATCGCATCAGGACCTGACCTGTTCTGGATTGACTTGACCGTTTTTATTTTATTTTTATGAAAGGGAAACTCTCATGGGCACCAGGGACTTAGATTCGATCGCCCCTGGTAGTGCCTGGACTCTTACCGGCTAAAACCCCTTCCTCGACCAGCTCTTCTCCAGCCCCCCCGGAATCGCGTTAACATTACTTCAGGGAGGTGGCTGGTCGCCAAATACTCCTATTTCCCTTTCATTTTATTCTTTCAGCCTCTAGTTCTTTTCGTTCTTGTGCTTCCACTATGTGTACTATGTAGTTTTCTTCCAGTTTCCTTCATTTTCTTTGTTCCTGTATCCCATCTTCTCTGCCATGTGTCTATTGTTTTTTCCCTTTCTTCAGCCCTGATTTCTTCTGCTATAATGTCTATTTTAGCCCTTTCATGTATAGCTGTTTTATCTGTTACCAGGAGTTCCATCGGGTGTTCTGCTGTCAAGACCTGTAGAGCAGCTCCTGGCACAGTTCGATACGCGCTACTGACTCTCAGTAGAGATTTCCTCTGAGTGTTTTCTAGTGTGGCTTTATTTCTTGCCGTCTTGACCGCTTTTTCCACACTGGTGCTGCGTAAAGTAGTACTGAGTTTGCAACTCCATTTAGTACATATCTCCTAGTATTACTCGCGTGTTTGCCATTAGTCTTTGTTTTCCTATTGCATTACAAGCCTTGTTTGCGGCGTATTTCACTTGACCTGACTTGACCTGACTTGATCGGACTTGACCTGACCTGATCTGACCTGATTGTTTGGTGAAAATCTGAATTTCTCGCGATTATGATGAGAAAATGAAACCCTTCCTATCTGCCTGTAATTGATATTCTGCGTTAATTTAGCAGCACCGGATTTATTTCTGTCTGCTGTTGTTGAATATTTGTTTGACTTTATAAAGCAAATCTGAGTGCTTTGTTGATGTGTGGCACAATTAACCGAAGTCCAATAAATAAAACACAATCGCATTTTTTGATTACATTGTTGATAAAATGTCATACACATAAATAAAATCCAGTGACCATTTAAGTACTATTAGTCGTACTGTAGATGTAGTCTTCCCCACCCCCTCTCCTTGGATCAAAAGTACCAGACAAAGTACCACCCTCTCTAGAAATTGAGGTTATGGCATTAAAATGTTCAGACGCAGACAGTTCAACTATGGACACATTATGTCCAATCATGGTAAGAGCGTCCACGATATCCTATTAAACAAAATCTACACTTCCAACCAACGCTCTGTGCACGACATACCTGTGAATACCCTTCTTCCACCATTAGCTGCATTGGTAACAACTGATGGTGAAACCTCTTATCCTTAACAGCATCTTTAATTGGATAATTAAACCACAAATTTTTAATCATAATCTAAAACGAAAAATTACAACTGCACCAACCAAAAAAGTAACTAGTACCAACGCCACACCCGTGATTATCTTCGTCCCTCCAGCTCCACCAACCACCAGTCTAACATCCCCACTATTATCCAGCACAATGGAGGGATTCATCGACGACATGGGCCTCTTCCCCGGTACTATATAGTTGCTCGGAGACGGCGGTACTCCGTAGACATTGTCAAACCCCGCCGATGAAAAATCATCCATCTGGTCATTCAAAATAATCCCGGTACTCGCAGAGGCAAACCCAGCCCCAAAACTACCAAACTTAATCACAAACCAAACAAATTTTCGTACCTACCTATAGTTGATGGTACTCGTAACCGACACAGCGTCTCCGTTGGGCGCCAGCACACACATATTGGCAGTACCATGGTCCAAAGGCTGCGTCACGTTAGCCCCATAATAACCCGGATCTTCAAACGTTTGATTGTCAAAAATGAGGGCTCGCAGGTCTCGGGCGAAGCTTGTTGATTTTAGTTGGTTGACTATCTAAAAGTACGACTTAAAGAGGTTCGGCCGGAGTGGTACTCACCTCAGTGACGTCGACGAAGTCGGGGTCTCCGAGTTCAGTGCGTTCGGCGAAGCCGAATTTGAAGCTCTCGATGATACGTTGCCAGTTGGTGACTGAGGTGGGTTCGAAGGGGTCGAGGAAGTCGTTGAGGATGTTCATGATGAGGCCGAGGATTAACCCGGAGCCTGGGAGGGGAGCTGCGTGGAGGGTTTGGTTGTAAGGGAGTTGGAATGGGATGGGGTTTAACCACAAAGGGGTGTAGTTGTTGAGGTCTTGCTCAGTGATTATGCCACCTTTAGCCTGGATGTCTTTGACGAAGTCTGAAGTTAGAGCGCCGTTGTAGAGAACGTCGGCACCGTAGTCGGCTATGAGTTGCAAGGTTTTGGCCAGGCGAGGTCGCGTGATTTTTTCGGATTCGACATACGTTTGGTTTGTTATTGGATTGATGAAAATCTCCCTGAAAGGTGAAACAAGGTTGTAAGGGATAAGTTTGAAGATACGATATACGTACCGAAGGATGTCGTCTTTCATTATGAGCTCCTTATTAGCTCCACTAACCTCCGCCACGTATTTCGTCACCGGGATTCCCTCATTACACAAATCTATCGTTGGTTGTATCAAATCCTTCCAAGCTACACCACCTCCGTACTTATTGTAAGCTTCCCAATATCCCTTCAACTCTCCTGGTACTGCCACCGCCAGTCCTCCTCTTATCGCAGATTCCTCGTCACTCCCAAACATCGTTTCGTTGGCTTTTTCCGGAGCTGTTTCTCTAGCAACCAAAAAGTCGCTCTTACCTCCATCTTTTATGTATATATTCATGAGAAAACCGCCACCAAGACCCATGGAATCGGGTACTGAAACACCCTCGCAGAAAAGTACAGCGATTGCTGCATCCACCGCAGTACCATTTTTCTTCAGAATGGAAGTACCGATCTGGGCACAAGCGGGACCGTTGGTTACTACAACCCCAGTGGGGATTTCTTCAGGTCGGGTGGTAACTAGAAGAGTTGAGGCGAAAAATAAGATTTCAAGTGACCTAAAACCTCGTTAAGAAAATTTGGAACTTTTGGGTTGAAAGAGTTTACCTCATCTTGTTAAAGGAACACTATAAAAAATTGAATGAAGTGTAGATATTTAATTATTTTAGGCGATAAGATTAAATCAAACAATTGACTTTTATTCACAAGACTTGTACATCTCCATTTTGAACATTTTGAGTTTGATAAGATAAGAGTTTTTGCATTTTGTATAATTTTCCATAGAAACAGATGACATATGTCTGTTGCATTTTTTATCACACAACAAAACAAAATATACCTAGTGGTCAACAGTTAACACCAAAGCAGCTTATCTTTGTTTCATATTTTCTTATTCTGTTTGTTTATCTTCTTTCATATACTGCGCATACCCCACAAAGTCAGAGAATTTTGTCGAAACTATTCCCTACATAACGAAGATTTTAGAGGACAAGTAAAAACCCTGAAAACTAGAGTAGATCAATTAGAAAAGAAAAAAATTAAACTAATACTGAATTATATAGGAAAAAAAAACAAAATAAAAAAATAACCTACTGATAAGAAGTTTGGCAACATGGCAACAAAGAACGAGACACAACAAGAAAGGAAATCTAAGTGAAATCTCAATTATCTGAAACAGTAAAATGGTGAAATTATCCACACTCTAAACTCTAAAGTATATTCGGTTGCCTATTCACATTCAGAAATTAATTATCCTGTTATAAATAAAAGGCAAATAATATTTCCAAGGTCTACTCCAAATATATTTTTTACTGTACACCCGTTAAGTGAAACTTTAACAGCTAAATAAGAATAATTCTATCGTCTTCGTAACCACTAAAATTTCCTCAGTCGTTCTTCAGCTTTAAAAAATGGCTGGTTTTGCACAAGCTCTTGAAGCGTTTCTTTCATAATGTCTTCAAAAGAAGCCAATTCTCCACCGTATTCTTTCGGTAGAACAGACGAAGGTACATATTTGTGGAAATTTTGAAAATCTTCTTCAACAGAATGTACTTTAACCTGTAACTTACTGTGAAATGATAGTTATCTTCGTGGTATTTTTTTCACCTTTGTCAACAATTCGCTTTTGATGAATATTTTAAATAAGTCTATGAATCGGTACAATATATAGTTAGCGTTCAAAATGTGGGTTTCTCGTACTTTTAGAGGCACTCCTTCCTGAAGATACTTGAGTCCCGATGATATTGCTCTCATTTTCACGCACGTGAGATGCATGAAACCAACCTGAAGGCAAAATAATACCCAAGGCGAACTAGTTTATAATTTTCAAATACCCCTTTCATGTCTATAACCAGAATAGCTTCATTTGGAGGATCATAAATTTGGCTAAGGTGTAGCAACATGATACCCAGCCTTATCAAATATATAACATCACAGTTGCGATAATTTGTATCAATCAGCTTTACTATGATAACCGCAGTGTTGTTATCCATTCTTGTCGAAATAACGCAAACTCCCCTAAAACGATATGAAGCTAACGAAAAAAAATCTTTGTTACTTACGCTACACTTAAGATTTTTTTCATGTCCGTGTTCTCCAAGTCACAATCGTTGAAAATGTGTGGTGCTTCATTCTTCACTTTGAAGTAAGTTTCTATTGTATTCTTAACAGAAGCAAGATCATTCAAGCACGATAGAAGAAATAAAACGATGAATTGTTCCTGAAGTGGAGGCAAAGACTTTGTTTTCAACCAAGTTTTAATAGCATTAATGTCACGTTCTGTGGTTCGTCCATCTTCAATGATAGTTTTTACGTCGAATCGAAACGGTAAAGCCATTTTCCCCCAAAACTGCTGTTATTATACATCCATGATAAATTTATAGGAAAAAATGCGTACAAATTAATTTTTATTTTATCATAAAACTTATCCAGAGAGCTACAAAAAACACTATTTTTGAAGATTTGTTGTGATAGAATTGTTGTTTAGATTATCATCAATTTGAAAGTTTGAATTGATGATGCAATGATTAAAAACAAAATTTCAAAAAATACGTGGCTCTCTTTGCTTGTATCATTAGTTATGGGAAGTTTATGGGTGATCTTATTTTAATTATATTTTAAAGTCACTTACCCTACTGACAGATTAGCAGTTTTAGATGAAAAATAAATTATTTAAACTAAGCGTTGCACTCATTTCACCACTCTACGAATAATTAAGTTCATTTTGTTGTATGAGCAAACCTTATCATTGTGCAGTTTAATGCTTCGTAAGAAATCGTTTATCAGAATGAAGACTATCAACTATCAATTTAAATATAGAAAATGCTTAATAAAGAGAAAGATAACAAAAACAGAACACGTTGCATCAATAAAATACAGGGTGTTCTATTTAAAAAAAACTAAAATATCGATATTTGAAACTTGTAATAATTTAAATTTTGTTGTACTTAAAAACTCTGTATAATAAGACCCAGTGGTGTTTGCCGAAAAAACACAGAATAATTGCTGTCACTTTCTCGATTAAAAAAGTGTTATTACTCAGTATATATCTTGTACATAGGTTTCCTGTTGGCAATAACAAACAAGTATTTTGTGATATATAAATAAGCCAAGGTCAGTGATATGATAAATGCATTAATACTTTTTAAGATAGAGTTTTAACTGTCTTTGTGGTTATTCTTTATTAGAATTGTTAATATAATCTAAGTTAACGTATGGGTTAGAGAAGTCCTTATGATTCGGTTCCAATTGATTTATTATGACTTCTCTCACCTGTGCGTTAAATTAGATTCAATTATAAATTGTAAACAGCTCAGTCAACAATCAATGGAAACAAGTTAATATTTTCTAAAACATTGTCCTTCGTATACCATTTTTGCTTTCAACTTTATTTATTATCTAAAACGTATATATATATATATGTTACAGCTAATATCCGAAATCCGTTATTATGCATAATAACTAGACATTTTAGGAATTATGCGTAATAACTAAACTTATCAGTTATTATGCATAATAACCGGAAACATTAGGAATTATGCATAATAACTAAAATTTTCAGTTATTATGCATAAAAACGGAAACGTTTAGGTAATATTGATAATAACTAACAGAGGAATAGGAATTATGCCTAATATTTTCCAAAAACCTACCCACCCTGCCTCGCTTTCCTCTACATATCACATGTACAGTTGATTAAAAAAAAAAGGGAGAAATTACAGTTATATAAACGTCATATTCCCATTGCTTTTCATTGATCAATGAGAATCTGAATTGCTCATCTTGTCCCGTTTTTTTGAAATCAGCTGGACATGTTACAGGCCAGTGCCGAAGCCTTTGAAAATGGTAAAAAGTGAAAAAAAATTAGAACAGGATGATACCCATTGGAAAAGGAAGAAAACATATCAAAAATAAAGGGAAAAATAATTTACGGGCGATTTGAGGTCCGGAAGGGGAACAGGGTGAGCTTTTAAGGGTAGAAAACGGTTTATGACGATTTCCGGCAAAACTACAAGTCCTATCGCAAAAAGTTAAATGGCAAAGTTGTAGGTAATAAAAAGATCTACAACTCTTGTGTTTACACTTTCTTTACATAACCTCAAGATTTATGCGAAAAATGCAAATAACCGAGTTTTTGGTTTTTTATTTTTATCTCCCATAATTTTTTTTTTAACGACATTTGGTGAAAACTTACCTATATATGTCCCAATCTCACTGTAATTTTTTTGATTCAAAATATTTATTTTTTCCCCTTATTTTGATTTAATATCTAAAAACCACGTCAAAATATTTGCTTTTTTAAAAAAATCGGTGTGCTTTTTGTTCGCTGAAATCTCTACTTTCTGAAGGTGTAAAAAAAAATATACATTACTATGGAAAATTTTCACAGGAAATGCAAAAAAACGAAAAAACTCGAATTCGAATTATGTTTTTAATCATGTAAAATTTTGAGCTATTTATTAAAATTTACACTTTAATTACCCGAAAAAAGTAAGATTCCATATTACGCTGATAAACTCAAAAATTTAAAATCCATGAAACAAACGCCTTCTGTTTGTCAATATGAAAGATGATTTAATTCTTACCAATTGATTTTCGAAATCTTAATTGATTCAGTGTTATATTGTCATTTTTACATTTATAAATATATTTGATTAATTGTAATCCATTTTTTGCGATATCTTCTTTGTTTGCATGTTTTTTATAAAAATATTGGCCAAATTTGACAAATTTTTATCGTCTAACTAGCAGACCCAGCAAACGTTGTTTTACCATATAAATTATTTCTAGTGAATATTTTACTAGTTAAATAAAAAATTGAATCAAAATAAATAAATAAATTATAATTAAATTAAATTATAAATTATACATGCAAATTATCGTACGATGATTATATTCAACAGCCATCTTGAACCCTGTTGCTTATCTGTGGATGCAAGTAAAGATACTAATATCGTTACTACAAAATGGGGGTTGGTGGTAGAAGGGTGAAAATTTCGGGTTATATGTATTTTCTTCTCAAAAATTATCGGCCCTGGCCTATTAGGCAATATGCTTAATGACTAATGTTTCAGGTATTATGCATAATTCCTGTTCCTCTGTTAGTTATTATCAATATTACCTAAACGTTTCCGTTATTGTGCATAATAACTGAAAAATTCAGTTATTACGCATAATTCCTAATGTTTCCGGTTATTATGCATAATAACTGACAAGTTTAGTTATTATGCATAATTCCTAAAATATCTAGTTATTATGCATAATAACGTATTTCGGATATTAGCTGTAACATATATATATTTAAATCGGAGTCTAATTAGCCAATAACACGTGACGTCATGTTGTGGCGGGAACTCAGCGTTTGACAAGCGTCGTGAAACTCCATAAGCGACAATGTTAACATTTTCGCATTTTATTTAAAAGTGTGGATATTTATTTAGAAAATAAACACGTGAATAGCTTCTTTCATATCTTTTCTGTGTATCAGGGTGCTTTTTTTGGCGATTTGAGTTTAGAAATACATAATAAAAATAAAAATACAGAACACTGTTTTGGTCTGAATTCCTTGTCATCCAAAATACATCCAGAGATAATACATCCGTGTGTTTTAAGCGGGAAATTGGAAATTAATATTTTCGTTTGAGGTTACTGTGACGGGTTTAAGTGAAGGTGTGTGATTGGTTTTTAAAGTATGGATAATTTAAGTGATTATGCACCATGTCTTTCCGTCGAAGACAAAAACAGATATGTACAAAAGTTAAACAATTTAAACGGCGTAGATCCTTATACAATAAGTCCAAGTGATTTTAGTTTGTGTTTAGACGATGTCCCTACCATAACAATGAATACCATTCTAAACTTTTTTATTTTTAGAGTAAGTAAAATAACCCACAATAAAACTCGTGCCTTCAAAAGTCTAGAGACATTTATTCAATTTTCTCTTTTTTAAACAACTGTGTCTTTCAACATTACAAGTATTATGAGTGGATTTATTTTGATATCCTAAATTTTGTGATGGAACATAATCAGGATGGTCCACATCCGACAAATCTGCAGGTTTACCTAAAAGAGCACCAATGTAGTAATTTGTTAGAAACTGTAAATCTAATAGGTAGGTACTGTACCTAAAATAAAATGATCCGAACAAACATAGGAATACGTTACTTTGGCTTCGTTAAATCCACTCGTTTCAAGGCTTTTAACCAAAGCTTCCGCCTTTTTCCCCATCCTGTATATATTTACCATTATTGTTGCTAACTGCTGCGAAAGGAATATAAAATTTGTCCCCATTTCTGGTGCTTCGATTTGCGCAACCCACAACAGCACAAAATTTAGGCATTTTGTCCTAAAATACAAAATATTATAATATTAAGATGCTAGTGTATTTAAAAAACATTGATGTACATTAACAAAGAATTAATTTGCAAAACAAATAATATAAGATGCAGCGAAGTTAACCTGTACATCACATTGGAAAACATTATTTTTTAAGCATATTAAAACGTTATGGTGCGTTTTACAGATATCTACACACACAGTCTAGAAACTGTAACAAACTTACCAAACTATAAAAACACAGTTGACACACTCTCAAATTTAAATGAATTCCGAAAATATTAGCATTGACTCTTATGAGAAAACCGGCTAGTTGTCAAACGCTGCCATCTTGATGACCTCGGATGACGTCAGTGTATTTGGCTAATAGGGTACTTGCACTCAACTGCCAGTTTTAATAAAAATTGGTGCAAGTGTTCCCTATGTAATATAGAACCTAAAGTCCTCAACAAAAGTTGAAAAAAAAAATTGTAAAAAATATCCAGAGTCTTAATTCTTGAGTTTTATTTTAAAGGCGGAACCTGGTCTCTGACGTCATAAGCCATAGTCCAATCATATCAGTGCTGAACATGGCAACATTGAAGAACTTGTTCTTCAATGACGCGTACATAACTTGAGGTTATGTACGTGTCATACATAACCTCTTATAATTGTATAACCTATTTTACGATGTCGGCTCTGCCAAAAAAGAGCGTTGGACAAAATAACGCGCGACTAAAAAAACCGCGACAAAAGAGCGCCGAGACAAAAAAGCCCAGTAATTAAATCATATGGGAAAAAAAAACGCCGAGACAAAGCAGCACGCGATTAAATAGCACTGGGACATTTTATTGCGCCATGAAATAGCGCAGCATTTTTAGCTTTGTAGTAGGTTTGTGCCAATCCAAAGTTTTTCTCATTTTGTCAAATTTTCAAACGCCCGTCATGGAATTTGCGAAATCACAAAAAGGTGGAAGAATATTGTTTTATGGTGGTTACCGCTACCGCACAGACAAGAGAACATCTATTCCGTTTCTTGGAGGTGTTCTCAAGAAGGATGGAAAGGGAGATTGCTAGTGTCAGAAAATTCAAGTGAACCGACTTCAACAACGGCTCATAGTCACGGCTCAGATTCGGCGAAGAGAGAAGTCGGAAGAGTGAGGCAATCTATGAGGGAATTGGCAGAAACTTCCAAAACCAAGGCAGATAATTCAAACCTCCATCAGAGGTACTTTCGAAGAAGCCGCAGTCCTCTTACCGACATACGACTCGAGAAGCTCTGGTAAGAGGTGAAAATTTTCTGCTCTTAGACACAGACTTGGGAGATAACCAAAGAATTCTTGTTTTTGGCACCAGAACGAATTTGGACACATTAAAGGAGTTTCGCCACAGGGCGATGGACGGTATATTCAAGACCTCGCCTCCATTATTTCAATAATTATTTACCATGCACGTAATAATAGACGGAAAAGCGATTCCTGTGATATTCGGTCTATTGCCCAACAAGCAAGAACAAACTTACATGAAATTTTTCGAAAGCATACTGGAAGTCGAACCAAACTTGGGCCCAGAAACAGTTTTGGTGGACTTCGAAATAGCATCTTTGAGTGCAGTCAGAAGGTGTTTCGGGCAAGCATGAACCGTCGGCGGTTTTTTCATCTAAGCCAAAATTTATGGCGAAGAATTCAGCAAACCCATCTAACGGAACAACAGCGAAGTCAGAATAGGATGTAAGATGTTGCTTGCTCTCGCATTTGTACCTGAAAGGGACGTGCAGTTTGCGTTGGAGATTATCGATGAAAATTTTCCTCATGAACTGCTACCTTTAGTAGAATATTGGGAGAAAACTTACGTCGGAAAACGAATGCATAATTTGAGGTCTAGGTACGATATCAACATCTGGGATATGTTTGATCGAATGTTAACGGACCAAGGACGAACAACTAGTTAGAAGCTTGGCCCAACTCTTTCAAACACTCTTTGGATTGCCAACACCCTCAAATCTATGTATAAGCTTATTAGACAGGGAACAAAGTGCATATGGCGAGGTACAGATCGGGAATAAGAGTTTGAGAATTGGCCAACTGTAAATATGTTCAGCTGAGAAAGCGGTTGAACCTATTGGTTTCGAAGTACTCATTTGCAAATGTTGAAAACTATTTGAAATCTGTGGCGTTAAACTTATCACTTTAATCGTTTATTGTTTGTTTAATTTTTGAATAGTCTGTTTCTAGTTCTGAAATAAAGTTGAGTTGATTTTCTGTGGTTTATTCATAACCGATCTATTTGGAGGCTATAGTATTACTGTTTTGAGACGTTTTATTGGGCTAGCAAAGGTAATTTTTAACATTTACGTCAATATTCATATTAATATTCACATCAGGACATCATTCTCGCTTGTCTACCCTTTTCTAACGTGTTCTATATGCCTAATAGTAATAAGACAATACATAATACAATTAATAGGTAACTATTAATTGTCGCAGATTATTTTGTCGCGTGCTAATTTGTCCTAGCGCCCTTTAGACTCTAAACGATATTATCCTACGCCATTTTTTACAGCGCTTTTTTGTCTCGGCGCTGTTTTGTCGCAGTTTTTTAATCGCGCGCTATTTGTCCAACGCTGTTTTTTGGCAGAACTGCACTTGACAGTACAGCCGACCATAAAAAGTCCCTATATTAATACGGAAACATCCTCGACTTGGCAACAATGTATGGCTTATGACGTCACGCCCAAAAGTGCGCGTGATTTAAATATTAATTTTTAATAATTTATTGCTACACTATGAATAATCCCATGCACTTTTTACAACAATACCCTTGTTTTATGAGTTCTGCTGAATGATTTTCTGGCTTTACTCAAAAACGTGCAAGATGCCTATTGTTTCATTTTAGTTCGGGGTCAAACAAAATGTTTTAATAATTTACATTAATAAATAATGGGTTGCATATTTTCTCTTTCATACATACTTATTAACTTCTAGGGCGTAAGCTGAGGAGTATTGTAAAATGGTCTCTCCGACAAATGACCAATTTAATGTAATCTGGACATGTAATGACTTCTAGAGTACGAAACAATAGGTCTCACTTTTCAATTTGTGTCTGCCGTTTGTTCAGTTTTTTTATTAGGCAGATATACTCGGAAACTACCTACAGGACCGATTCCTAAATTTTACGTCGAAAAGATTGTGATGGGATAATTTTTCTGAAGCACCCGTTTTTTTTTTTTTGTTATACGCCGCTTATGTATCTCTATTGTCTTATGTTTTGTAAATGCTTTTTTCTAGACTTCATCATTTTTGATTTCGTATCATTTGGCTGCGGTTTTTTTTTATTTCCAGGGTTATGATGTCCTGATTTTGAAAGTTAAATTTTGCCCTGAAAACTAAAAAAATAACACAGCGAAACCTCATTATATGATATAAAAAGAATCGCATTCGACGCCACATTCCTTATTGATACTTCTTTAGTCTATGCTAGGGAAATAAAAATAACTTTGTGGAAATATAAATTTATTATTATATATTATAACAACTTAAAATAACCATTTCTGACAAAATTCATTCATATAAATGTGTCTCTTTGTATATACGTACATATATTTATTTCCTATTTGTGATGAATCTAAATTAAAAAGTACCAGACAAGTCATAAATAAATTTATTTAATTTTCAGTAATTTTCAATTAGTTATCAAAATATCAAATATGATGATGACACTACTGTTTTGGAGAGATGAAATGTCAAACTTTGATAAGTGGTCAAACAAACCTGGTAACAACTTACTTTAACTACCGCTTGAAAAATAATACAATAATTTTTAACTACTTAGGCAAATAACTCAAATCACAGTCAGCAACTAATTTTTCTTCAGCTTCGAAGAAAGGCTTCAACTTTCGAAAATATTGGTTGCTTTTGTCGTTCAGTTCAATATAACTGGGTAAATCGCCGCCGTATTCTTTCGGCAGATGTGTAGCAGGTATCCATTTTTGATGAAATTCCTCAATCTTCATACTTGTCGGGTGTATTTCCATCTGTAACACAGACATTGCCATCCAAAACGCAAATTTAAACTGTATAGTTACCGTTTCAACCAGTTGTTTTTTCATGAACAGTTTTGATATAGCAATAGCTTTCTCTGCGACGTAGTTCACATTGAAGAAATGAATTTTTGTTATTCGCAGCGGGATGGCGTCTTGTAAAAAGTCGATAAAATTTTTTAGAACAGTGAGTTTAATGCAGGTTAGGTGCATAAGAGTAATCTAAAAAAAAAGAAATTAAAGACGAAAGGTAAAGGCAAGGTAAACTTACACCCTCCATGTCAATTAATACAATCTGGTTATCGGGGGGAGAATACATCTGACTGATGGCGATGGTCATGAAAGCTAGTTTGAAGACATCTTCCATGACAAAATTTCTGTAGTCGTAGTCCTGTAGCCGATATAAATGTATTACAGAATTATTTATCCGCTTAGGAAGACTGCTGCTAATTCTGTAACAAAATAATAATGATAATGGTGAACTTATACATCATTCTACAAATTTTGGGAAAATTTTGTTATTGAAAATTTTGTTGTTGGTGATGGACAAAATTAGCTTCTTCATTATGCTACTTGTGTCACTTGTTTCAAATTTTCTAAACAGAGGTGTAGAGTGTAATCATCTTTATTCTAGCTCATTCCCAGAACAGAAGACATGTGTTTTTCTTCGTAAGTAGGGTCAAGTATCGTGAACTCCCATAATCGCAGACAGTGTTGGGCAATATCTAGATACTTGTATCTAAATAAAGTATCTAGGTACATTTTTGGGTATCTAGTATCTATATCTAGATAAAATCGAATTTAAGCACAATATACCTGTATTTAGATAGATACAAAATTAATGGCGCAGATACATATACATTTTTTTATATCACTTTTTTTTCAGTAGTTATTAGTTGAGTTATACTAGTAGTAATTTTTGATACTTCATGTTGGTGATTTTGGTCACATAAACAAAAATAGAGGCAAGAGGTCCACTAATAGTGTTCTGCCACGGAAATTTTCATATTTTAAATACCATCATTTCCTATATTATAGCCTTCATTACTTATACATCTTTAAATATAATCCTGAGGGTTAATAAATTTAAGCCATGGTAAGATGGTAATTTAAAAACCATAAACCACAATTCGGTACGGTCCTGACTACGATAAGCAGAACACGCTCCGAAATCCAAACTCGAAAATCGAGAGATATCGAGCGTCAAAAGCGAAAGAGAAGTAGTAGAAAACAAAGAAATGAAGTGGAATAAGAGTAAGAAGCACCAAGAAGTGTAAGGACAGCAATTATTAAGGAAAGTGTGGAATCAAAAGAACCTAACCTCGGAAGAGATAGTCTGGGTGACAGTTCTTATCGCGGCACGAAGTAAACAACACAGGAACGTACTAGATACACAGGAAGCAAGAAAGTCGGCCAGGGAATGCTAAACGGGAATCCTGAACCGGAAAAAGGATACAAACTAGCAATAGAAGAACAAGACAACCAGAAACGAAAAAGAGAAACCTCCTTTTCACCATCACCGGAAGGTCAAAGAGTACAGAGGAAGCAGAAGAGGGTACAAGCAGGAGACATGGATGAAGTAAAGAATATATGTTTAAAACGTTAATGAAGGAAATCGCAGAAATGAAAAGAGACCAAAGAGCATACCAAACAGAAGTAACAACACTAAGAGAAGAAAACCAAAGACTGACCGAAAGATTAGAAAGAGTGGAGCAACACTTAGAAAAACTGGAAAAAGCAGAAAGGAAAAACAACATCGTAATCAAAGGAGGGAAACTACAAGGAAGCGAAATAACAGCAGAGGTTGAAGAACTCCTAAAAAATAAGGTAGGAATCCAAACTAAGATACAAGACGTAAGATTATTCAGCGAAAAATACGACATAGTAGTAGCAAAGATAGAGAATTGGGACACAAAAAGAGCAATCATGAAACAGAAGAACAAATTAAAAGGATCAAAAACGTTTATTGAAGACGATTACACCAAACAAGAGAGCGAGATACAGAAGAAGATAAGAGGAATAGCAGCAGCAGAAAAAGGGAAAGGAGTCGAGGCAAAAGTAGGGTACAAAAAGATGATATGGGCAGGAGAAGTCTGGCATTGGGACACTAAATTAGACAAATTAGTGAAAGCACCGTCGCACCCCAAAGAAAATCCAAAAAACTAACAGAGGAAGAAACCACACACCGGAAAACAATGACGACGTATGCAAAGCTCATGGATGACCCGATAGGAATTACGAAGAGAAAGAAAAACCCGAAAATTAGAATAGGAACATGGAATGTTCGAGGAACATATAGCGAAGGAAAACTCAAACAAATAGTTCAAGAATTACAAAGGTATAATATAGATGTAGCAGCTATACAAGAGACGAAACAAAAAGGCAAATTCATCACTGAAATAGACAACTACATATTATTTAATAGCGGAATTGACAACAGAGAACTAGGAACAGGATTCATGGTGAAGAAGAGCCTGAAAGGAGCAGTAATTACCTTCAAACCAATCTCAGAAAGAATGAGCTATATAAGATTGAGAAGTAAGTACAGGAAAATAAGCCTACTGAATATACATGCACCGACTGAAGAGAAAGATCTAGAAGTAAAAACAGAATATTAGGAAGAACTAGAAAGAGAATATGTGAAAATACCAAAGCATGACATTAAAATGGTTATAGGAGACGCCAACGCAATGATAGGTAAAGAGAATTGCTAAAGGCCAACAATCGGGAAAGAAAGCAAACACCAAAAAACGAATCAAAATGGAGAAAATGGAGAAAAACTGATAGAGTTTGCAGAAGAAAATAAAATGGTAGTCAAAAGCACCTTCTTTGCGCAGAAAGAGATCTACAAAGGCACATGGATGTCACCTGACGGAAAAACGGTCAACCAAATAGACCACATACTGGTAGAAAGGAGAGATGCCCAACTAATAACCGGATTAAGAAGCTACAGAGGAGCAGAAGCGATTTCAGACCACTTTCTAGTAAGAGCAGACCTCAAACAAGAAATACCGAAGAAAAAAGAAGGAAAGAAGACGCAACGTGATATAAATGTAAACAAACTTAAGAAAGCTGAATGTGCTTATAGGCAATAAAATTAATATTTTTCCAACCCTCGGTAGAATAATTTATCGTGATATATTCTCAGAAATCGTGAAACGAGATTAAAATAAAATGAGTTTCAACAAAAATCTGAAAATTTAAAGTTGCACTCTGGTGATTCCGGCCTGCCAGGTAGCCTTTGATCGTATAAGGTGTTTAATTACCTTTCTAAGAAATTGTACTTATTTTGCCTCATTAAACGGAACCAGCAATTCTTCCTAAAATGTATATACCTGCCGCACCGGGATAGACGATTAGCGGACATGCTCATAAAAACATCGTAAGCCGATATTGGAAAATAATAATTTATTACAGGTTGCCGACAACAGACTTTCAGCACAGAATAATCATTTCCCGTATTCTTTTGAAATATTAATTTTAATGCTGGAGATAATTATTAGATATACTCAAACACAATTTCGACAATATTGCACAATTTGCGACACATCAAACAGCAAAGCGTTGGCCTATTTGCTGGAAAAAAGAAAAGATTTTTCAGTCTTGAATAACTATGCTACAGTAAAATGTTTATTTTTTAAACTTAATACCACAATCCCTTCTTCTGCACCTGTGGAACGGGTGTTTAGTGGTGGAAACCAAATTCTGACACCAAGAAGAAATAATTTAGGTGACAATACGTTCGAAATGTTGTTAATTTTAAAAAAATCATTAAACAATACATAAAAAATACATAAACATGTTTTCAGTTATTTTATTGGCCAAAGCTTCAAAAAGTATTTGTTTTCTTGTATCTGTATCTAGATACAGTTCGTAAAAATCGAAAACAATCTATATCTAGATACTTTTAGCTTCCATATATATATATCTGTATCTAGATACTTTTAAAAGTATCTGTCCCCAACACTGGATAAATTAACCTGCGTTTCCACTTTTATTTTTAGAGCTGAGAATTTACACATGTAACATCTTTAGGTTTTTGATCAAGTAAAGGTACCTCTGATCTAACTGACTAATATTCTGCATTTTCTGTTCGGGGATTTGTATATTGCTTCTTACTAGATTCATGTCTGGGTTTTCTTTAGTGAGAAGTTCATTCGTTGTATCGAAAATCTTGATAAATGAGATTCTGTGTAGATCCAGGGTCCTTATGATCTTCTCCATGTTTTGAACATTGTCACAAGAGCTCTATCAAAGAGAAAAATGGCTATCCCTCCGGGGCCTCCAAATGATTTGAATACGTAATGATGACCTGTTATTACAGTATTTCACTAGTTGAGCCTTGTGATAGTGTAAGATAAACTCCGGATAATAGAAAAAGATTTTTTGGAAGTATTTATTCTTTTATTGACTGCTCTTGATCCCATAGAAATTTCCTAGTAACTATTAAATAAACAACAGATACAGTAGATAACAATAAAGTCGACATTTTTACCATAAAGGTTCAACATGGTACGAGGCGACAATCTTTTAATAATGCCATCAATATCGGACGTAAGCGAATGTTTGCAAAGTTTCAAGGCATCCAAAATTTCATCTTTTGATATATGGGACACACTGATAAATAAATTTGTGTTTGAGTCCGATTCTGGTGTTGAGAAAATATGATTACACTGGTCAACAGCTAAGCTCTAACTTTTATTATAGCAGCCAATTATTATTTAATTAACAATTTTAAATGATATTATAAGCGGCTAAACCCAAACTTAGCTCTCATTTAAAAGTAATCTTCAATAATATCCTTTGAAAAATACAAAAATCGTACTATTAAGTAATAGGAAACTTTCTATAAGGTGTATTTTTTTGTGATCAAATTGCTATAAACTTCTTGGGAAACAATAAGAAAACTACGTTTAGTAAGTAGAAAACATGTTATCATCATATAAAAAATTTAAAATTAACATATTCTTAAAAGTGCATTTTATGTATTCGCATCTTGATTTTTTCCCCAAAAATTATGACGACGTGAGTGACGGACATAGAGAACGCTTCCATCTTGGCATTTTGTCGATAGAAAAACGATACCAAGTTCGATGGAACACCTAAATGCTCGCAGAATACTGCGGAACCATCAAGCGAGAGATCTCCAATAAAATCGATAGGAGGCAACCGAAAAAACGTCGGTCTTAGCTGTTTCTTTTGTTTTTTTCGTTTTTTAAACTACAATCGTTGTTTTTTTCTTAATTATGGTTGTTCTTTTGTTAATACATCACCTTCTGCCGTTAAAGATACAAAAATTAAATTGTTTTACCTGATTTTTTGTTTTTAACATCAAATATGCATTTTTCTTTTTAATTGAGCTAAGTTATAAGGTTTATGCCATTTGTTGCAAACACAGAGACAAAGTAAACGAAAACATTACAATTATGTCAAAGTTAGAGAGAAAAAATTGAATTTTGTTGACCAGTGTTATTATAGGACAAAAAAATATTACGGTTTTAGAGATTTTTTTTTTTGACTACTTAAATCGCCGCAATAGAACACCGACACAGTTAATTCAATTAAAGACTTAAAAAATTGTAAAAAACTTACGAAACTTGGCTGGCTTTTTCCAAACTTGCATGGTCAATATCTTGGTTGCTGAACAATTCGGGTGCCTTTTTCTTGATTCTAAAATAATTTTTTAGAGTGATTTTACTGGCCTCGACGTCGTTTTCGCACGACAAAAGCAACAAAACAATTAACTCGTCTTGCATCTGAAGAAGCGGTGCGGGCTTTAACCACTTTTTTATTTCGTTGACGTGTTCTTGACTGCATCTTCCTTCTTTTATAACATCTGCAGCTTTGAATTCGTAGGGTAGTGCCATTTTCTCCGAAGCCGACAAAACACTGAGCGCTCTGAAGGAGTTCGCGAAATAGTTTTTTCTCGGAAACTAGTCCAGCAAGGTTAAAATGATAAAACCTCCGGCTTTATTTAAATTAGTATACATGCAAAAAGTAGGTAATAAAATTTATTCGTAAATGTGAATTAAGCAATTTCCGACTTTGCCAATGAAAGATTATCCATTAGGAAACTAGTGCTCAGATTCGAAAATTTGTCCAAAAGTTCACAAAATTAAATTAAAAAAAAATCTTGGAGAATATTTAAATACAAAAACATATAATAATTCTCGAGGAGTGAGTGAGCAATTTGATAAATTTTTAATCGATAATAATCTTTGCAACTTGCGTCACAAACCAGTAAGTCAAGTATAAAAACGTTTCACCACATGATTTTTTTTTAAAGCATTTTTGCGAAATGTGCATATATTTATGTTAATTAGTCCCTGGACAAGCAACTGATCTCGAAATTTATCTCGAACTTCCACTTTTTACTTCCCGAGTGATGACTTTGAACTTTTAGGTGTACTGTAAGGTTAACGTGCAATTGGTGAAATGCTAATGAAGTCTGACAATTTATCCCTTCCAACAACTTCATGACGTCAGCTTAAAATTACAGTTGCAACTGCAGATTTATTAATTATCATTTATTGTCAAACGCACTAACCGTTTGACCTCCGAAGACACTGTTTCCTTCTCAAGGTCGCCCACATTTTTTTGTGTGCAGAAAATTGTGTCTTTAGGTAAAGTCGAACAAAACACGTTTTTCCAGGAATGATCAAGTTGCATTGGGTGCGACATGTTTATTTATTAATAGTATATGTATTATATTATATTTTTTAGAAATGCTTATACCGAGTGACTCAGAAAAAATTAATGAATGCGTAATTTATTTTATTTATTTAATCAGTAACTAGAAAACCGAAATCCTGTAGATGTTTTAAAGTTGTCATAACCAGGGTAAATTTGTAATCAAAATTTATCTATTTATTCTCTCCAAAAAATTGATGACGTCCTCTCAAAATTCTGGAAAAACTCATTTGAAACATACGCGTAGCATAGATCTTTACATTTACTTTAACATTACATGCACATCTTTATTTTAACTTGTAGGGGTTCTCATAAAAAAAATACAAAATCAGAAGTTTTTTAACAATAAAATTACACAGATGACACCTACATGAAAATTATTACTATGCTGCTGTTGCGCAAACGTGTTTTTTGGTAATTAAAATCGACATTAAAATTTCGTTTTTCTGTGTCAAGCTTTACACGTGCGCATTTTTAACAACAAAGTATAATGAAATGATAATTAGGACAGTCCACAATTTTACTGCAATTTTATTGCCAAACTGAGTTATGTTTTCTGTGCTTCGCAATAACAAACTTATGACACGAATACAATTTAAGCAATTCAGTCGTTTTTTTCTGAAATTATCTAACACGTGCATTATACAAGATTGTTTGCTTTTTTGCCAGAAACAGTTCTCTTTAATTGGCTCAAAATAATCGGTTAAGGCAACCTTGGCACCAGTTTCACAAAATTCCGGTACCATGAGTGTAGTGTTGTGTGAAAACAAAAACAATATGATTCTAACATACAAATTCGAGTCAAAAATTCTCGTTGAAGACCGGAGAACGACTAGCAAAAATGTGAAAGAAATACAGCAGTGGTTGACAACCACCTGTGTACCTAATTTACAAATCGAAACGATAGCCTTGTTTCTCATCGCCTGCGACAACGATATTTCTGCTACTCAAACGACAATTAAAAATTTCTTTAGAATCAAAAGCGAAGCGCCGGAGATATTTAGCAACAGGGATATAGATAGTGTTATTTTGACAAAAACCAGACAAGTGTTGTAAGTACAGTTTTAGTTGTTCGTTCTACCTTGAACTCCATTTTTTTTCAGATTTGCTTGCAGTCTTCCTAAACGTCTGCAAAACACTGTGATCCATTGCTATAAATTAAGCGAAACCGATCATCGAAATTTCGTTTTCTCTGACATTTTCAAATTAGGAGTTATGATAGTGGACGTGAGTCAGAGATACGATCCACCAGATGACTTAATTGCGATAATTGATATGGAAGGGGTACAGAACTTTCCTATTCATTTTGCTATCTTTAACTTTTCCACATTTCAGTTAAGCTTAATGCATCTGACTCGTTTAAAACCACACATCGTAAAAAGTTTTGTGGACTTTTTACAAGATGGAATGACGCTGAAAATAAAAAATATTCATGTTTTAAATACCCACTATGTAGCTAAGAAGTTTGTTGCAGTTCTTAAATTATTTATGAAGAAGGCATTAGCTGATACGGTGAGTGATAAATAACAAAAGTGAAAAGGAATTAAGTTGTTTCATTAGTTAATAGTACATCCTGTTGGTATGAAGATGGAAGAGTTTTATGAGAAATATGTACCAGCTTCTCATTTACCTCAGGAGTATGGAGGGGAGTTACTAAGCTTCTCAATGTTACAAGAAATTTCGATTCAGCAGCTGCGGGAACTAAAGCCCTTTTTTGAAGCTGAAGACAAACTTATTATTGATTATAAGTCTGCTAAGAGTCAGATAGACAAGTGAATTGTTAATGTGTTATAAAGTATTAATTTGATTACTGTGCCCTTTTTACTTCGGTGATCTGCAATGTTAGTCTTTTGTGGTAACATTTGCCTTGCGTACATACATATGTTGTTATGGTTTTTTCTTTCTTTTCGTCTAGGACGATTCACGAGTCAACCCGACTAGAATATTCTTTCATTTATACATTTTTGTAAATACTTATATCGTTTGTCCAGTGTCTATATAATGGAACCACGTGTAGTGAAAGCCAAATTTAAGGACACTATTATAAAAAAGACGGCCTTGACTAGGTTACCGTCGCCGGCATTTTAATTTTAATCGTTAAAAAAGCAATTACACTTATCATTATTTATTTTTTGGTGGCGAATGAGCACTTTTAAGGCTTATAACGCTTTACTCAATTAAAATTTTCGCTATGTAAGAAAAGCTAAATATACCATTTCAACTAAATTATTTCCTTTACCTAATGATTCAGTGATTACTATAATACATTTTGTAAATACATATATATGAATCCAACTGGAATTATGTCGAAGGCATTGCACATTGAATTTGTTTGCATGTTCGATTTCAGGGGCACGGGAAGTTCTGCGTAACTAATTTTTCGTCATTGGGTATAAGAATGAAGGAAAATGACACATTGCGGTAGTTAAATAATTTAATTTATAAAGTTATAATAATATCAAAATTTATAAAAACAAAACAACAATATATATGTACAAACAAAATGGATATATCAAATATCTAGTCTAAAAACAAATGTACAGGTTACTGCTGTGGTCGATGTCTCCCCATTAGTGTCGGTCTGAGCCTCAAATTTCCACGAATAATTCCTGGTAGGTGCGTCCTTCCAATTCTTCTGACTGTCATTATTTTCGTCAAATCTTCGGGCTTCTCGAAATTTTTTACGAAATTTCTATATTCCCTGCTGGTGGACTCGAGTTCCTCTTGTGGGAAAGTCTCCACAGTACGGGTTGGCGATGAACTTCTTTGTAGAGCCATGGCTTGGAAATATCTGAAAAAAACAAGAATTAGAAACAATTTATATAAATAAATAAGAGGTATACTTACAGTCTTGTGGTGATGAAAGTGTCTGGTATGTTAGGGCTATGACGTCAACATTAAAACTAATCATTGTGGGTTTGTTTCACCCATATACAGGGTGCCGCATCCAAGTCTGGATATAGGGAATTAACATGGGAATTGGTTTTTATTTTATGATATCTCCCCAGATCACTTTAAAGCTATTATTGAGTGATGCATTTGTGGAGGTCGAAGAGGGCTATCGGCCGGTATTTTTTTCAAATCGTTGCATCGCGCTCATTCACTGTAAAAAGGTTTTAAAAATCGTATTTTGAAATTCGCGCCCGATCCGATTTGTCGCGAAATGTTCCGTCGCACTGTCGAAGTTCGGCGATCGCGTCTTTGGAATAACCATGCAAAATTCAAATGTCAAAATGAAATTAGAAATTATTCTCAGAACTCTACGAACAACTCAAACTGAATTATTTTATCCAGTGTGATGATTATTGTAGGACAAATTAAGCGGAATAAATGCACAAATTGATCCATTCATTCGTCATAGTGCGCGACCACGTCAAACGAGCTATCTCGAACTACACTCAGACCGTATCCAAAAAGCCCGAGATGAAGACTTCGAGCAGCTCGTCTTCCTCAAAACCCCATCGGCAGGATTGTGACATGTCCTGGGAGCCCTCAAGCTAGGAATGTACTCGCGCTGCCTCACTCAGTAATCACTGAACGACTCAAATTGAATTATTTTATCCAATATGACGATTATTGTAGGTCAATTTAAACGGAATAAATGCACAAGCTGCACAGAATATTGTATTACGTTATGTTGCTGGTGCTGGTCGAGTCTTTATTAGTAAAATCTCATTAAAATGCCATGTTCTACTGCGATTAGATGAAAAAGCGAGGGCCCGATTTTCTTATTGTGTGATGATAAGATTTACCATCAAAACAGCTGGCGCTTTTGAAGAGAACCTTTTAATGAACCATGGATAACTACAAATAACAAAACTTAACAATTGTTGATAAATGAAGTAATGAAATATTGTACGAATCTGGAGAAGTATTGCACTATTTTCAAGAATTGCTCAAAAGACTGCTCTCAGCAGCTGTACAGTAAGTAAGCCGATCTTCAAAACTTCTACGCGTGTTGATCAGCATTTGCATGAAGACAATATTTGCTGGACTGCTTGTTTCAGCGCGTCTCTGTTTGAATACAGATGGTCGTGAAGAAATCTCAAAAGAAAAAATTCCCAGGGATTTAGATCCGGCGAATGCACAGACCAATGGGGCGGTGCAAACTTTCCATTCCAACATTGCGGGAAAATACTGGTTCAAATAAACAACATTTATGCGAGCTGTATGGCTGGAGATTTGGTCCTGGATGTAAAAGACCTGCTGCAGATGCCGCACCCTTCGAGTCCCAGGAAGTATTTGCTGAGCTAGCATATTGTCCTACTTCTGAGCATTCAATCTAGATTCGATGAAAAAAGGTGCAATGACATGATGTCCTAGAAGCCCCAGTCAGACAGTGACAGTTGCACGCCATTGATAACAATAGTCATGGACCACGTGAGGGTTGTGTTATGCTCAAATTTGATCGTTCTGACGATTATAACTTCCGTTAAGACCAAATGAACATTCGTCAGTAAAACAAATGTTCCTCAAAAACTCTCCATCAGCCTGGATTCTCTTAAGCATTCCTTCATAAAACTCCCTACGTGAGAAGTAGTCCTCAGGCTTCAATTTTTTGTCATGATGCTTTTTGAAACTCTTCTATCCCATCTCTTTAAGATCCCTAGAAAACGTTGTGGCCACCTGATTTTATTTACTTTTTATCACCTTTGAAAATAAATGTATCTTTGTTTTGTGAAATATTATTTTTATTTTTGTTGTTAACACAATAAACAAATAAAACAGTAACACAAAAGTTTCTGAATCCCAAAACACATTCGTAATAAAGAAATATACTTTAAAATGTTGATGAGTCAATGTTCTACATTTCTCTCTCAAAAATTTCTTGTAACGAACATGCTTCCAGGTGGCAAAAATTCCATCCCTGCTTAACGAATGTAAAACCAATTGACTTCCAATTTTTAGTGATTCGAAAAAAACGTGTGAAATTTTCCCAAATTACCTACTAATTAAATTAACCGTTGAAGAACAAGCAGACCTCGCTTTTTCAACTAATCGGAGTAGAACATAGCATAACCTAATAAAATATTTTGTGCAGTTTGTGCATTTATTCCATTTAAAATGACCTACAACAATCATCACCCTGGATAAAATAATTCAGTTTGAGTTGTTCGTTGATTTCTGAAAATAATTTCTAATTTCATTTTGACATTTGAATTTTGCATGGTTATTCCAAAGACGCGATCGGCGAACTTCGACAGTGCGACGGAACATTACGTGACAAATCGGATCGGGCGCGAATTTCAAAATACGATTTTTAAAACCTTTTTACAGTGAATGAGCGCGATGCAACGATTTGAAAAAAATACTGGCCAATAGCCCTCTTCGACCTCCACAAAGGCATCACTCAATAATAGCTTTAAAGTGATCTGGGGAGATATTATAAAATAAAAACCAATTCCCATGTTAATTCCCTATATATACTTGGATGTGGCACCCTGTATACAAGTTGTAGCAGCCCCACCCTATTCACCCCATCCCGTCACCCTCAGTTTCTCCCCACTTTATTCTAGGGTGGCAGGGTGGGGTGAATAGTGTAGGGGAGGTACAACTTCCACAATTGGTTACATTCTCAAAGTCGAAATCAATAACAGTATCTCTTTTGATAATTTTTGAAAACTGTCCGAAAAGGTGAAAATATTTCATTGTTTTGAAAAATTTATCTTTCGCCGAAGTTGCATACAGTCTCAAAAAATTCTGGGAGTTGGTTCTCGATGAGCTGAATCAATCATGGTCGCTGATGAAAATTTTCTAACGATTAGCTTTTAAATTGACATTTTTAAAAAACCTCAAAAAGAACCATATTTTATTTTGCGTTTCTAGAAAAAAGATATGAATTTTTGAGGAAATGAAACCAGAAATAAATTTTGGAAGTCGAAATAACAATAGCATGTCTATTGTTTTTTTTTGGAGAAATCAAAAATTTCATACGACGGGTTTGAAAATCTGAATTTTTCGCAAAACTGCCAAAAAGTCCACCAAAAATTCTTGGATATAACTGTCGATAAGTTCAATCAAAAAGCATCGCTTTGATGGTCGCAACTCAAAATTTACGAAATATTTGTTTTCAAATTAAAGTGTTGAACAATCACAAAAATTGACATTTATTTTGTCTGTTCCATCCACAGAAATGGGAATTTTTGAAGAAATTAAACCGAAAACAAATCTCGACATCGAAATCAACAATAGCAGCCGATCAAAATTTTCGAAATACTCGGTTTAAAACTGAGATTTTTAAAAATTCCAAAAAGTGCCATATTTTTTTTGGTGATTTAAAAAAAGTAGTAGCTCAGTAGGAGTTTTTAAATAATATTTTAGCGTTGAACTTCAGTTCTGCTCGTCCAAGTTCGAATTCCAACCCCTCAACTTTTTTTTCTAACACATTGATTTTTTTTTAATGCGCGGAAAGTTCTGCCTAAATAATTTTGAAGATTTTCGTCACTGAGTACAAGAATGAAGAAAACTGACATATTAAAGTAGTTAAATAATTTAATTTATGAAATTACAATAATATAAAAGTTGTGAAAACCAATAACAATATTCGTATATTGTAAGGAAGCTTTTTCGCGGGCCGGAAACAGAGAGAGCCGGGAGTAAAGCCGCGATCGCCGCGCCGCCGCGGCGGAAGAGGGTTCTGGCCTGAAGTCTTAATGAGAGAAGAGGTGCTGTGGCTGTGTTTTGAGTTTCTGAAAGTGTGGCAGAAGTGCAGTTCGACCCTCCGACCACGGTAAGTACTTTTTGGGTCGTCTGCCCGGTTAAGTACCGGTTTTGGAATCGCTTTGTATTTATTTAAGTTAAGTTTAGCCATAAGATTTTATTATCTTATCTGTGTAGCTGGTGGCAGGGAATAAACCGTATTTATTGTGTAAAAGCATTCCTTGCCGTTTTATTTTATTCTTGCGTTTTCGCGGGCGCTCACCACCTAATATCCGTGTCTCCTGCTTTAGAGCAACCCCGGCGCCTGAGCGACAGCCGCTCCTGAGCGAAGGCGCCAACCACCGCAGCGTGAAGGTCGCCCCATGAGCTTAGGTCGGCCAGATGTGTTTTTAAATCAGCGACACTAGTCGGTCCAAAGCTTGGCACCCAGGTACGCATATACTATTATTATTCCTACGACTACTGTTATGTTAAGTAAAGTCAGGTCAAACGGGGTAAAGGCTTGCCGGTACCTGACCTGACCTTGTTTGAAACCATTAAGCGTTAAATGTACACCTTCCACTTTGTTTTCGATAGTCAATAACAGTAGAACCTCTTTCAGTACGAATTTTAGGAAGATTGAATGAACATTTTTGCATTAATCTCCATGGTAGTATTAGATTAAAAATGATACGGAACTACAATTCATTTTCAACATATCCGCTAAAAACATTCATGTCATTTTTAATAGTTTTATTAAAGTCTTATCTAATTATCACTACTTTTGAGGAACTACAAACAATTTAAAACATAATCAATTAACAATTATCTCTCTATTAAAGACAAAAGTATATATACGAGTAAATTTCCTGTTATCTAAGTAATTTGAAGTACAGCTAACACTCCAGATCACAGAAGGAAAAACAGCACAGTATTCAAATTAATACTTCACAACGACGCGACTTAATAATTCACTTGTCTATCTAACTATTAGTAGCCTTATAAACACTAATAAGTTTGTCTTCAGCTTCAAAAAGGGGCTTTAGTTCCCGCAGTTGCTGAATCGAAACTTCATGTAACGTTGTGAAGCTGGGTAATTCCCCTCCATACTCCTGAGGTAAATGGGAAGCAGGCACATATTCCTTATAAAACTCTTCCATATTCATACCAATTGGATGCACTATTAACTAAAGAAACAACTTAATTCATTTTCAATTTTGTTACTTCTATCTTACCGCATCAGCTAATGCCTTGTTCATAAATAACTTAGCTATTGCAATAAACTTTTCAGCTATATAGTTGGTATTTAAAACGTGAATATTCTTTATTTTCAAGGCCATTCCATCTTGTAGAAAGTCGACGAAAGTTTTTATCACGCTGACTTTCAAACGAGTCAAATGCATTGCGCCTAACTAAAACGTAGAACAATTAAATCTTGAAAAGCTAATAGAAACACTCTGTACCCCTTCCATGTCAATTATTGCAATTAACTCATCTGGTGGATCGTATCTCTGACTCACGTCGATTATCATAAACCCTAATTTAAAAATATCAGACAGAATGAAATTTCGATAATCGATGTCGCTTAATTTATAACAATGTATCACACTGTTTTGCAGCCGTTTAGGAACACTACATGCAAGTCTGAAAGAAAAATGGTGTTTAAGGTAGAACGAACAACAACAACTGTACTTACATCACTTCTCTGGTTTTTGTCAAAATTTCGTTATCAATATCCCTGTCGTTGAATATCTCCGGCGCTTCGCTTTTAATTTTGAAGAATTTTTTTATTGTCGTTTCAGTAGCAGAAATATCGTTGTCGCAGGAAATGAGAAACAAGGCTATAGATTCGACATGTAAACTGGGCATAGAAGAGGTTTTCAACCATCGCTGTATTTCTCTCACATTTTTGTTATTCGTTCTTCCGTCTGTAATGAGAGTTTTGACGTCGAATTCGTAAGGTAGAACCATTTTCGTCTTGTTTACGCACAACACTGCAGCCATGGTACGGACCGGATTTTTTTAAACGAGTTTACCAAGGTTGCCTTAACTTATTATTTTGACCCAATTAAAGCGAATTGTTTTTCACAAAAAAAAAACACAATTTTCTGTAACATATGCTTTAGAACATTATTATAGTGTTACCGTCATTAATTATTGCGAAGCAAAGAAAATGAACACTCATTTTATAAATAAAATTGCAATATCAAATTTTAGTTCTCAGTTAGTCGTAACTGATTTTTAAAAAGTTAATTAAAAAAAAAATCACGTTAAAGTTTGAAGCCCGAAAATTAATTTAAATATTTATTTGAAAGAACATGGAACAAGTTTGCACACAAACCGCATACCTAACTATTCCTATAATTTTATTACATAATTAAAAGAGAACATTTAAAATAATCTCTATTTATTTAGAAAAAAAGTTGGACATTCTCTCACATTTGTTAATTTGGATGGAATTTAAGGCCTTTAATTTTCAAATTTTTTAATACTTCTATTATTATTAATAAGTTTATAAAATGGGATAGTTTGTATGAAATATAAATTATTCTTCATAGAATATGTTATATTTTATATAAATACATATCATTGTGTAAAATCGTGGATATAATTTGGAGTGAACTTAATTACGATTGCGTTCAATCTAAATTAATAGATTTAATTATAATTAATTTATTCTCTATCTGTGTAATTAAATTTTTATCAATTTTGTCTGTGTGTAATCATTAATTATTTATTAATCAGTTTTAAAATATTCTTGCAGCCATTAGCAGGCTGAACAAGTGTAATGTTGGTTGCATATCCTTGCAAAAGAAGGAATTGGAATTAACACTAAATGGAATCAGGTTCTGATTGTTTCCATGTTAAGATCTTCTCCAAACGATATGCTTTGGAGCCTTTTTTTAGTTTAAATAAAAAATCAGTATTTTATAAGGTTTTAATTTTCTACGATTTTTTCCTTTTACTGGGAGTATTAGTTAACATATAATGTTCTATCATTTCTTCTTCGATTCGAAAAAAATCCTTCATCTCTTCGAACTGCTGCATAGTCCAACGGTTCAACTCCTTGCAAGTGGGCAACTCTCCGCCATACTCCGCAGGTAAGCAAGATGGTGGAACACAATCTCTGTGAAATTCCTCCATGGTCATGCCTGGCGAGTGTGGAAATATCTGTAACACCCCTTGATAAACACATTTGACAACACCAAAAGTCTTACCAGTTTCATCATCTCACTATGCATAAACATTTTCGCCACAGCTAGAACTTTTTTAAAAACGGTGTTGGCATTCAGTATATGAATCTTCTGAATCTTCAGCGGCATTGCATCTTGCATATATTCCAAGAATATTTTTGCAATGTCAATTTTAAGACGAGTGAGGTGCATGAAGCTCGACTACGAGTTAACTTTGGGTTCGTGAGTTTTAAAGCAAAGTAAAAACTTACCCCGATCATGTCTATAACGATTACAGTATCAATTGGAGGGTCATATCTTTGTGTAACATCCACCAGCATGAAGGTAAGTTTCGTATTACTTACTAAATCAAAGTCTCTATAATTTGTATCGTTTAGCTTGAAAAGGTGCACTGCTGTGTTGTTGCCCATCCGAGTGGGAATACTGCAACATGTTCTTAAAACAAAAGACGTAAATTAATTGGAAATAACCATTTTCAAACATTTTTCTTTACTTACATCATTTCCATGGCTTTTATTAATGCTGGGTCTTCGATATTTCTTCCCTTGAAAATTTGAGGTCCTCCGCTCTTGATCTTAAAATATTTCACAATACTATCTGGGACAGCTGCGACATTATTCGCACAGCCCAATAGAAACAAAGCTATCATTTCATCTTGGATTTGAGGTAAGGTAGTCGTTTTAAGCCATGCTTTTACTTGTTCTATGTGTGTTCGGTCTACTCTTTCTTCCGATATGATCTTTTCGACGTTAAATTGATATGGTACAGACATTCAGATCACTGAGAATTTTGACGTAAAGTTTGACTGGAGTGTGTTTTGAAAATGGCTTCAATTTCATGTTTACTTTTTGAAGTGGATGTGCTTTCAGCTAGAAGAACCAAATATGGAATGACAACCACTGACAACTGTGATTAATAAACCACTTAATGCCATTTAAAGTGAAGTGTCAAAAATTTTAAGAGTGTTTTTTACATTTATTATTTTATTAATGAAAATTGTAGGAAAACTTCATTTAAATGGCAAGGAACTTGAACGTAATGATGCGTAAACAATTAAACATAAACTTTTTTTTCAAAAAAATGTCTTAACTCAAAGTTACCCGCTTAATTTGAAGCATGCGCATGGAGTTCTGTCAATCTTTTTTCGACCTTCTCGGGGAGTTTGGGTTCAAAAGTTCAAGCCTCTTATAATTGTCACAAATAAAAAAATTCCAGGTGTTTGCACAGGAAAATGTCAATCTTTTTTAGTCCTGTCAAGAGTTGTAAATTTTTGAAGCCATCAAGACCTGTCTTTTTGGACTGCTCTTCTGATAGTGCTACGCTTTGTATTGTTTAGCCTTTTTGCGCTTTACTCATCGAGTTTTACCCAAAACTAGCGCTGCATTTTTGTTTCGACGGAGTGCTGTTAGGTCGGAAATAAATGGCGTAATTTTGAAGGCTATCTGGTATGTTTTTTTGTCGTTAACTTGCCAAAGCTAACCAGTTATTTGAATTCATGCATAATTTAATCTTTTTGGATGCACACAACCTCTTCAGTCTTAGTCAATACGGCCTTAGAAAAAACCTTAGTACCTGTGGTGCAATCCTGGATTTGGTAACAAAAATTCTATCATGCTTAGAAAAAAAGAACTTCTCCGTACTACGTTCTGTGTATACAACTTCTCAATTTTTAGTATAAATCTCTTAAAAACTTATCTTAGTACGTAAAATTCAACAAAGTTATATCCAATCCAGTCCTCCAATCTTGGTCTTCTATTATTCATAATTTAGATAAACGATCTCCCAGATATGATAGATATAATCCTCAGAACAGCCAAAATAGATGTCAATTTTTGTGATTTTTCAAAAGTTCAATTTGAAAACAAATATTTCGAAAATATTGATTTGCCAAAAACAACGCGATGTTTTTTGATTCAGCTTATCCAAGAAATTTTGGTAGATTTTTTGGCAGCTTTGAAAAATTCAGTTTTTCAAACTTGCCGCATATAATTTTTGACTTTTCCAAAATTACCAAGAGAGATGCTATATTTCGACTTCCAAAATTTGTTTTCGGTTTCGTTTCTTCAAAAGTTCCTATCTTTTTCAAGAATGTCAATGTCAATGTCGCTTCAACTCGAAGACAACCAAGTTTTTGAGAAGTTGTATGCAACTTCGTCCAAAGTAAAATTTTTCAAAACAACGAAATTTTTTATCTTTTCCGAGAATTTACAAAAACTATCAAAAGAGATACTATTATTGACTTTCAGAATTTAACCACTCCGTGGAAGCTGTAGCACCCCCACCTTATTCACCCCATCCCACCACCCTAGAATACGGTGGCGAGAAAGTAAGTGTGACGGGGTGGGGTAAATAGGGTGGGGGTGCTACAACTTGTATATAAGGATGAAACAAACCCACGACGTTTAGTCTTAATGTTGACGTCACAGCGCTAACATACCAGACACTTCCATCACCACAAAACTGTAAGTATACCTTTTGTTTATTTATACAAAGAGTTTCTAATTTTTGTTTATTTTCAGATATTTCCAAACCATGGCTCTACAAAGATGTTCATCGCCAACTCGCACTGTCGAGAGACACACTTCCACACAGGAGGAACTTGACTCCACCTGCAGGGAATATAGAAATTTCGTCAAAAATTTCGAGAAGCCCGAGGATTTGACGAAAATAATGACGATCCGAGGAGTTGGAAGGGCGCACCTCCCAGGAATTATTTCTGGAAATTTGAGGGTCCGGCAGACACTAATGGGGAGACATACAACAGGAGTGACCTATTGTATCTTACATTTGTATTAGACTAGATATTTGATATAATCATTTTGTTTGTACATATATGTATATTGTTGTTTTGTTTAATAAATTTTATATTATGATGTTACAATTTTATATATTAAAAAATTAGTTGCAGACGTTTTGTTGTTATAACAAAAAAATATACATTTTCGGCTGACGTGTGTTATGAGATTTTGTTCAATCCTTCCTTATTGTTCCCATATTGGTTACGGGCCCAGGAGGCGTGTGAGTCTAGATAAAACTACGATTCTGGACAGTAGTAGTTTATTTCGAACAATATCGATGAAATATAAAGTTTCGTTCTCCAAAAACTGGTATTACTGAGGGGAGCATAAGTTCCTCTAGAAGCCTTCTGTATACATTAACATTTAATCTTTCTTCTACTATTGCGCAAATTCCACGTCTTCTGCTGCTAACCCATTCCCAAACTTTAACGGAAAAACGACCAGATTGTTTATATTTATTGCGATAGCGTTCATCATATCTCGTTCCTGGGGGTCTATACACACGGCGACGCCCATTACTATATGATTTGAAAGTTTTTCGTCGGAAAATTTCACATTATTCCACATATCTGCAGGTTCATTGACAAATTCCTGAGCAAATAATACCCTACTTGCCTTATTTTGCTCAGTTAAAAATATTTTATTGGCAGCAGCCCGATTTCTTAATTCCGTTTCGTGGACTCTCTTCCGGGCTGTTTTCAGTGACGCAGGGAAATTGGTTTGCTACCTTGCGTTAACCACTGTTTCGAAAGGATATTCTCGAATGAAATTTGCCAATTGAATGTTTTCGTCTGCAGTCATTTTTTTTTTGACAACCCGACCCCGCTCTTCTGATAATTCTACCATGTTCATTAATTTTTTTTTGCCAGTAGGACAGTATTCCTGCTGATATGCAGCTCAGTTGCTATTGCTCAAATTGGGACCCCATCCCTTAAAAGTTGCGCAATAGTTTGCTCTTGAAATTCATTCAAACTTGGCATTTTTGAACTGGCACTTGACATTAATCAAAGTGACATTTTTTAAATTTCATTTTGAATTCCCATTTTAAAGAGCTGTTTACAATGCAAAAATGTTTAGTGTCCCAGTTTTTTATTTCCACCGATGGTACGTTCAGAAGAATAAGCAGAAAAACAAAAGGGAGAAAACGATTGTATTGAAGAAAAGAAAAAGAAGGTTTTCAACTTCAAGTGTTTCAAGGGTCTACTTAAACAAGGACATAGACAGTCTCAATGTCCTCTCGAAAAGTTAACGACAACAGTTCTGCGAGTGTAGCTCTTTATTCAAGGATTTGGTATGAAACCTGAAATAGACTTTAATGAAACGTTTGCTCCCGTGGCCAGATTAGCTTCTATACGTGCTGAGGTTGGAGCAGCTTTCTCTAAAGACAGGAAGATTCGGCAACTTGATATAACTACAGCTTACCTTTAATTATCAAAGACAAGATCTTTATGTAGCTTACGAAACATTTAGAAGAAGTACTTGACCACATCGTGAGAACCGAAAAGAAGGAAATGATAATCTGAGAAAAAGCAAGAAAGATGATGGAGCAAATGCGTAAGGGCGACATGGTTTGTTTACTGAACAAGGGTCTGTACGGTCTGCCATAAGCTGGCAGAGTTTGGAACGATCGATTAGATGACGAACTCCGAAGTCTTGGAGCGGTTCCATCCGATGCAGATTCTTGTGTTTACGTCATCCAGGCATCGAACGTCACAAGTTTTATTGTCATTTATATTGACGATATATTGATTATGTCGGGCAGTGAAGTCGAAATCGGACGACCGAAGAGTTGTCTTTGTGAAAAGTTTGAAGTCAAAGATTTGGGGGATCTTGAGTACTGTCTAGGTATTGAATTTGACAGAACGGGCAATTATCTAGCTATTAGCCAGAGGGGATACATAGACGATTTACTTGAGAAATTTGAAATGAGTTATTGCAATCCGGTCTCTACATGCGGTAAGTTACCTCAGTCAATTTCGCAGTTGTTTTATAGAATCTCATTGAAAGGTAGTGAAAAGGGTCTTACGTTATCGTGAAGGGATTAGAGATCTGAATCTAGTGTACTCACGAGGCAGCGCAAGCGAACCTCCGGTAATGTATACTGATGGTGACTGGAGCAGTTGTCTTGTTGATAAGAAGTCTTATAACAAACACAAAAAAAACGTAGCAGGCAATCTGGAGGTTTAAAATGGCGTCGAACGAATGCGTCGTTTAAAAAAATGCGTCAAAAGTATGTCTCCCAGAAATGTGACCAATCCTGTGGCGCTGTACAAATAATGGCCTAAATCGAAGGAATAAAATGCACGTCCCACATGATCCACAATGTTAATTTGTTCAATAATGAGCTCGGTTTGAAAATACGCTTCCAACATAGCTGCTGCCAGAACAAAGAATTTACCTGCCACACTTTATCAGCGATTCAAACAAAGAATTTACATTATGTTACATTTTGCCTTGATCCAAGTGACTGGTTACTTAAAAAAAAATAGCTTTGAGAGTTTATATCGTGGACTGTTCCCAGCTTAACCCAAACAAAATACACGATAAATAAACACAAAATGCATCAGGCGTTGCGAGAAAAGCTTCCCGGCGATGTAATTTTCCACATTGCGAGAAAATGTCTCGGTGATGTAATGATGATATGATGATAACAATTTCCTAAGGTGAAAAATTTTTAATCCCCTCGTAACTCAGAGCACGATATTATGAAATCTACCGTACTTTCACGGTCTTTTCCCAGAGTGGGGCAACGTTGGATTCATTTAACTGTCGTAAATGAACTATTAGCAATCTTGTGTGAAGAATTAAGAAGTGTTATAATGTAACACTTAACTATAAGCATCCAGAAACGTTATTCATTATTTTGTAAACAAAGAATGGGTCCCGAGTGATTGAATCTCATGAAACTCCCCAGCAAGTACTGTATCTAAACAATCTCAGGATCGTTAAATTGTGTTAGAACTAGTTAACGATTAAAATCCTAACATGAACCGTGATTTTACAAACAATAAAACAAATTTACACCACGTGTTAGCGTCGGTGGAAAATTCGCATATTTCCGCTTGGAAAAAACCACAAGAATTCGCTAGTGTTGGGGAAACTCTGGGGTCGTTATCGTTACGATTAATTTTCGTTAAAGAAAGGCTTCTCATTTTTATTAACTACCAAACCAACTAAACTTAATCTAGCAAACTCACCACGTGGTTGCACACACAACAAGCACACCAAAAGTGACGCTTCTCGCTCCTCTGGCCACCAAATCAACTTCTAACAACCCTCTGGACAGAAATTTCCCTAGGAGAGCTACCGACTACCCAAAAAGAACTAAACGTGCACATGGTTGCCTATGGTTAACGATTTTCTTGATTGATTTTTTTTCTCAAATTCAAATTATTCAAATGCAATTTCGCGCTGCTGTTAATTTTTTTTTTCAGTACGAAATTTCAATTCAAATTCGGTCACCACAGTACACAACTTCGTCGAAAGTTAAATTTTTCAATACAATGAAATTTTGTATCTTTTTTGAGGATTTTTAAAAATTATAAAAAGAGATACAATTATTTAATTGACTTCCAGAATTTGGCTAATCTGTGGTAGCACCCCCACCTTATTCACTCCACATCGTCACTCTAGAATACGGTGGCGAGAAAGTAAGTGTAACGGAGTGGGGTGAATAGGGTGGGGGTGTTACAACTTGTATATAAGGATGAAACAAACCGACGACGTCTAGTCTTAATGTTGACGTCACAGCGCTAACATACCAGACACTTCCATCACCACAAAACTGTAAGTATACCTTTTATTTATTTATACAAAGAGTTTCTAATTTTTGTTTATTTTCAGATATTTTCAAACCATGGCTCTACAAAGATGTTCATCGCCAACCCGCACTGTCGAGAGACACACTTCCACACAGGAGGAGCTCGAGTCCACCTGCAGGGAATATAGGAATTTCGTCAAAAATTTCGAGAAGCCCGAGAATTTGACGAAAATAATGACGATCCGAGGAGTTGGAAGGGCGCACCTCCCAGGAATTATTTCTGGAAATTTGAGAGTCCGGCAGACACTAATGGGGAGACATCGACAACAGGAGTGACCTATTGTATCTTACATTTGTATTGGACTAGATATTTGATATAATCATTTTGTTTGTACATATATGTATATTGTTGTTTTGTTTAATAAATTTCATATTATTATGTTACAATTTTATATATTAAAAAATTAGTTGCAGACGTTTTGTTGTTATAACAAAAATATATGCACTTTCGGCTGACGTGTGTTGTGAGATTTTGTTAAATTCCTTCCCTATTGTTCCCACATTGGTTACGGGCCCAGGAGGAGAGTAAGTGTGAGTCTCGATAAAACTACGATTCTGGACAGTAGTAGTTTATTTCGAACAATATCGATGAACGTGAACGAAGTCCTCGAACCCGACAATTATGATACGTGGAAGATACAGATGAAAACGTCATTAATTAAGAATGACGCTTGGGACTACGTAAGCGGAAGTAATGTCAAACCAGAGTTGGTCCAGGACAACGCGGCTGAGGTTCATGGTCACCTATTTGCTGGGGTATTTAGTTCTAGTGATAATCACATATGTGATCAGTATTGTGATAATATTCGTTGTGAATTCTGTGATAAAAAGTGCTGCCCATCTTTACAATTGAAATCTAGCTGTGAATCTTCTTCTGTTCTACATCCTTTTAAAATAAATGAGTCTGATGTTGTTAAGGCCGTTAAAAGAATTAAGTCTAATAACATTGCAGGTCCTGACCGGGTTCCTGCATTTATTGTATCTGACTGTATTAGTTGTTTCGTAGTACCTCTTCTTCATATTTTTAATTTAATCATAAAAACATCTGTATATCCCAGTAGCTGGTTAATATCCAGAGTCTGTCCAGTTTTCAAAAATGGTGATAAGTTTGATATTAATAATTA